CTATAAGACAAGATATCATGTTATAACTTATAATAAAATACTAGCTAAAATCATATAGAATATTCACATTTACTAGCCTATAAGACAAGATATCATGTTATAACTTATAATAAAATACTAGCTAAAATCATATAGAATATTCACATTTACTAGCCTATAAGACAAGATATCATGTTATAACTAATAATAAAATACTAGCTAATATCATATAGAATATTCACATTTACTAGCCTATAAGACAAGATATCATGTTATAACTTATAATAAAATACTAGCTAAAATCATATAGAATATTCACATTTACTAGCCTATAAGACAAGATATCATGTTATAACTTATAATAAAATACTAGCTAAAATCATATAGAATATTCACATTTACTAGCCTATAAGACAAGATATCATGTTATAACTTATAATAAAATACTAGCTAATATCATATAGAATATTCACATTTACTAGCCTATAAGACAAGATATCATGTTATAACTAATAATAAAATACTAGCTAATATCATATAGAATATTCACATTTACTAGCCTATAAGACAAGATATCATGTTATAACTAATAATAAAATACTAGCTAATATCATACAGAATATTCACATTTACTAGCCTATAAGACAAGATATCATGTTATAACTTATAATAAAATACTAGCTAATATCATATAGAATATTCACATTTACTAGCCTATAAGACAAGATATCATGTTATAACTAATAATAAAATACTAGCTAATATCATACAGAATATTCACATTTACTAGCCTATAAGACAAGATATCATATCATATAGAATATTCACATTTACTAGCCTATAAGACAAGATATCATGTTATAACTAATAATAAAATACTAGCTAATATCATATAGAATATTCACATTTACTAGCCTATAAGACAAGATATCATGTTATAACTTATAATAAAATACTAGCTAATATCATATAGAATATTCACATTTACTAGCCTATAAGACAAGATATCATGTTATAACTAATAATAAAATACTAGCTAATATCATATAGAATATTCACATTTACTAGCCTATAAGACAAGATATCATGTTATAACTTATAATAAAATACTAGCTAAAATCATATAGAATATTCACATTTACTAGCCTATAAGACAAGATATCATGTTATAACGAACGATTTGTCTTACTGAAGATAAACATACAGAAATAGCCAAAATATTAACTTGAAATAAATTATTAACCCTTCGAAAATTTTCCCATATCTTTTGTTTTTAGCCACAGAACTATTTTTAGAATGTAATTTCTGGTTTTCTTAGTTACTGGCTATCTCCATCCTAACGACTATTTAGACTCTACATGACTTAAAATTAATACAAAACAATTAATACAAGTTATTTTCATTTTGTTTTCCTGGATACTCGTTATTTCTATCCTAACAACTTAAAACAAACAATTAATACGTTATATGTTCATTCCAAGAAGCTCAATTTAAACTGCAGGTTTTTGTACATGTTACTTCCAGTTTGCTTGGATTCCTACTATTTTAGTCCTATTTCTATAAATAACAACTCTATATTAATATATTCTTCCGATTGTAAAAATTAACAAGCTATGACAACAGAGAGGTGTAGTAGACATGTCACTTCCGGTTTCCTTCTAGGCTACATTAATCGTTCCGACAAGAAAATTAAGCATAAGAATAATTTTTAACTTAAAGGAAGTAAAAATATCCGAAATCTCGAATTTCTTTCCTTAAGGCTGGACATTTTGATTAAATCACGTTATTTCCATATTGAACTCTATCTTGGACAGCCTATTTCCGGTTTTAAAAGTGGAATGAAATGAATGGAATTTTTCGTCTTAGGCCTACATTTCTAATGAAGCCAGGCAGTGTGCAATAAGGGAAATATTGCCAGGACAGCGGTATTAGCCTTCTCTTTTTCGAATTCCAGCTGTCGAGTGGTATCTTGCACAGCCTGTTGGGCGGGGCCTCGGTTTAAGGAAAGGCCACCAGCCGGTTTTAATCCAGCGCTGGTATCATCCTGATAGTTGGACAGAAACGGAAGTAGTTTACAACATGCGTAGTCAGTATCTGTGTATTGTCGTAACTAACATCACTGACGTCACTGTGATCTAGTTTCAGTTCACCGACATTTTATCACCCTGCTGAGATAAAAACATACAATAATATAATATCTTTTTATCTTGTTAATAATTGTCTTAATTTTCCGCTGAAACGAAGTCAGTCTACATGGAAAATATCAAAAGAAAGTAGGCCTAACAAGGCTGCAAGCATTGTCTACCTGCCTGTAATTGAAGTTTATAATTTTAACAACTTAGGTTCTCAATGATTCTGTTAACCAGTTGTTTTTGGTTCATCATTTTGACATTAATCTATCAAAAACTATAGTAGGCTACCCACCTACAGCTAGGTCAACTAGGATTATAAGGAAAGGTGATTTTTTCCATCTCCAATACTTTAACTTGGGCCTACTGATTTATGAGCTGTGTGAAATAAAGGAATTTTTATTTGACCTCAATATTGACTAAGCTCTGCTATTTCAAAGGTAGATAATTGAAATTTAAACTTGATTCCAGAAAAGCTTGTAATAATATTTCATTCTTATTGAAGATTGGAATGAATATTTATATTACCTCTGGTCGATTTTAATGAGAGATTTCTGTTGTTTCTGTAGACAAACACAAGATATCCTATAGAACCATCAAGTAGGCCTAGACTACATACGAAATCATCGTGTTCATCTAGCTAGCCGATTACCTGGTACTATGATAGTGTGGTCAGTATTACTGGCGAACTATATTTTAAAGTGCTCTAATATGACAGATCCAGACTGGCACTTAGCTTTCATGTTTCAAAATTTCAAAGTTTATATGTCTTTCTTGTCTACTCGATCATGACATCTAAAACTCAAACTCAGCTAAAATTATAGGTACGGTATTTTTTCGTAGAATTTTACAGTTTTTTTTTTAATAACTTGACAAACTTCCGGTCTATAAATCATGGTCATTGCCCTTTCTTTGTTTCTTTGAACTGTATGATGAAATATCTCAATCAGATTCTTTTCGTTTTAACAACTGACAAAAAATGAAAAGAATATGAATAAACAACCATTGAACTGTGATTTCCGTGGAACATCAGAAAACAAACAATAAACATCCTGTTCTACACGGTATACAGTTCAACTGATGTTTACTGATTTAACTATACAGATATTACAAAATAGAAAATAGGCTGTGAACAACGGGAAGTCACGTAGTGAATATAGAGAACGCGGGGGTGAGGGGGTGGGGAGAGTACCATGGCGATGAAATAGATATTATTTATACCATATTTAATCAAAATTTATAATTTAATATTTCACAATTCATACCAACAGATCAACAATGGTTTCAGAAAGAAATATATGGATTGTTCTCAAGTGAATACAGTTAATCAGAGCCTTAGATAGAAACACTGTGAACACAAAGACATAACCTGAACAGTCTGTCTGTCGAGGACCATGATTGGCTGCATTCGCTGACGTACATTCCAATCAAATCGCTATAGCTATTGCAGTCAAGGTATAATATGAAGTTTGTAATAGCTTGAGATATGAGATTTGAACGACATATAGAAGCGAGGAGCACATATAACAAAAACACAAGACAATATTATGGAATATAACACACTTCTTTAATAAGGTTGGGCACAGAACGTTTCAACACAATATACACGTGTCGTCATCAGATGTAATTACATTATGTGCCTAACCTTATTAAAGAAGTGTGTTATATTCCATAATATTGTCTTGTGTTTTTGTTAGCATGAGTTAGACATAATATTCTACAATATCGTTCAATCCGTTTAAATATAGATTTAGTAGGAGGCGTACTTTAGAAATGTCATCAAGACTTTCAAGTTGAAATCGTAGAAGTTGGAGAAAGGTTCAATCTCAAATGACATCGAGTAAAATAAAATCATTTCAACTTGCAGAACTTCAGTAGTGTTATTTAATCCGAACAACTGTCTTAAACTTTCTTCGATTAACCAGTAATCCGAGAATAGTAACAGACAGACAAACTGGGACAGTTCTTACAACAAACTTAGAGTAAGTCGACAAATAGTTCATATTATCAAGAAGAACCACAAACAGATTAATTTATATTTTTGATATATTTAAATAGGTAAAACAGACGTTTGTGTAAATTATTTCCAAAACATGTTTGTTTTGCAATATGGTTATTGGTGAAAGACTGGATCATTCGTCTCTGGTGAAATAATAAAGAAAATAAAATGGTGTTAATAGATGTTAATTGGTTGATATGATATGAAAATTAGCGGTAAATTATTATATTTATTGAGATTACAGGGCCAGTGTGAGTTAGAGGGTCAAATATTTATATTATAGTGTAATGAAGAGTAAGCTGGTTGACATGTAACCATATTTTCATGGGGGGGTGGGGGGAGGTTAGGGTTAGGGTTAGGGCTTTCAACTCCTGATAAAAATCATACAGGTTTATTAGTCTAATTAATTATAATAAAAAACAGGTCAGTTCTTCCTAATCCAACTGACTCTTTCTTTAATATCCAACACACAGTGGCGGTGGCCACATCAAAGATCTAATTAATGGAATAATTACCTGTATCAATTAATATTATATGTTTGATATCCTAAGATTTCTCTAAAACCATCTTTATCAATTTAATACTTCCTGGCTGTGGGGCAGCCGGAGGTCCCCAGAAGCAAAAGGCTTTTATATTGGTTTGAGAAGGGGATAAAATAACTAGCAGATGTGGTTGAATAGGGAGGGGTTTAAAAAATACAAAAAAACAACTCAACCAGTATTTTAGATCATCTTTAGAGTAGAAATTACTGAACACAAAATTAAATACGACAGAAGTTTTGCCATGAAAGAAAGAGTAAAACTTGAGTGAGATGAATGAGATGAATGGTTGAAATCACTAGAGTATTGAATCACTAGAGTATTGAATCACTAGAAATAAATGTTGATTCTTTGTTAAGTTTTTTCTGAAAGTTGATTTAAACTTTGAGATATTTCAGTGACTCTTTGTAGAATTTTTTCTCGATCGTGTTCATGGAGAAATTCTCCGAAGTTTTGTTTAAATTTATCAGGATGCCATCTGATCTGTTGATCTCGAAGATATTTTCGATACATGTCACTGTTTTTATCTGGTAAATCACAAAATAACAGTTCAAATATTTCAGAGAGTTTTGATGTAAACGGCCATGGAACATCACAGAATCTTATTAATGATTTATCTCCCTTAGATTTGAATAATTTCCTGTATTTCTCCTCATATTTATATTTTGCTTCAATTTTCTCAATTTCTTTCATTTTCTTCTGTTTTTCTTCATAAATTTTTTCCAATTCTTTTCTTCTCTGCCTCAATTTTTCTTCTTTGATTTTCTGTTTCGAGTTTTCAGTCTTAGATTCATCCTGATTGGTTGAATTAGTTGATCTTCTGTAAGGATGATTTCTATTGGTTGATAATTTAGTTTTATATTCTTTATGTATTCTGTATGCCCATTGGTCATACGTTTCTTTCTCAGTTTCTTCTTGGAAATCTACAATAAAATAATGGAGATACAAAATAAAGGTGTTTTTTTCCAAAAGTTGACAGATATCATTTCTTATAAAAACTGTAAAATATAGTTGTAATAATTCACACAAATACATCTCAAGATATCATTAGAAATGATAAAATAGAACAAACCTTCATCATATTGTCCTTCATATCTACCATGAGACGACAAAAAATCTTCTTCAATTTCAGCAGTCATTTTTTCGTTCCATCTTTTATCATCATCTTCACTGTCCACATCTTCTTCACTCTCATCTTCACTATCAGACTCAGTGGAGGGAAGATTACTATCATCTACATTACAGTAGAACGTCGAGTTCTAAAATAGTAAGATAAAGGGCGGTAATAAGAATTAATTATACTAATATATATAGTTCAGACCACAATAATTTAACAATAGTAAAAATCAGTGGAGTTTTTAATAATTATTTGGAAGGAGATCAAAGTAACAGCTTACAGAATTATCATAGGAGGTTTACAGGCAAGTCTGTAATAGGATAAGAAATTTGAAAAAGTAAGGGGGTGGGGAGGGTATTCTGACACCAAGCTGCATCATTTTAAGAAAAACAAAAAAAACTTACATGTTCCTTGTGAAAGAGTTTATCTTGTAATATTTTGAGTTTATTTTTGATTTTTCTGTCTAGAGATTTAGATGATGGTTGATTATCAACTAGTGGAATCACCATTTCTTCATAAACTAGAAAATATCAAAAATTCTTAAAATTTTGTCTTCTGGACAAGTGACCTTTCTCATACTCAATAAATCCCAAGTAATAGGAAATATATCAATTATAAAGGCAGAATTATTTCAAACTGAAAACAGTAGAATTGTATTATCTAGTTTCTACCATAACTTACTTTTTAATGCTGTAGATTTTTTAGATTTGAAAGATTTTCTGATGGCCACTTCGACTGCTGTTAAACCTTTATCATTTTTAATAGTTAGATCTATCTTAGACTTCAATAAAAACCTGAAATATAGAATTATAAATTAATAATATAATATAGACAGACAAAACATCTTTTAATACAGTAAAATATAACTTGTATTCTCGTAAGTACTGGCAGTGACAACAGAATTGTTCTTATTTAGAAGAGGATTCCAACCCACAGCACCTAATCCCCTTGTAGATGAAAACTCGATTCACTACTAACTGAACTATTCCACTACTACTGCTATAAAACAGATTAAAATATGAAGCTAAAAGACAATATTTACCCTACAATTCCAAAAGCACATTTCTTCACTCCATAATGTAGGAGACTCTGTCCTTTTCCTAAAATTCTCTCATTTATATCAATCCTATGTTTGATCATCATTGATTTTAATTTCTGAGGTCTGTCATTCTCAATATATTTCTTTATTCTTTTTCCTATTTTCTTCATTTTCAATCATCTAGTTAAACTATAACACTGTACCCGGTAAAGAGAAAATTAAAAACATATATTCAACTTGATAAGCTCAGTGGGAAATCACACTGTTTTAATTTCTTTCTCTATGGAGATTTTACTAGGTCTGACTTTTTTTAGTTGAAGTGTAGGTACGTCTACCCCTCTCTGGCATTCTACTCTAGCCATTCTGGTTGGGTGCCAAGTTGACTATAACCCTTCTGGCCTAACCTCTTAGCCGCCTAGTCTCAAGCGAAAATACTAGCAATATTAATAGAATTGTTGTAGTATGTATGGTTTTAGTTTTCAAACCTTCAAATGAACAATCAAAACGCTAACATGGTATCTAAGTCTTGAGGGATTTAGTATAAAGTTAGACTGGACTGGTTGGCAAATTGCAGACACCAACAAAAAGCTTACCAAAGTAAAGTTTCTAGTTTTAGAAGATGTGTGATACTTACTAAAATAAATGTCAAGTTAGACGATTCCTCTATTAATCTATTTTTCAAGTGCTCGAGGCTTTTCTCTGTAAAATTACCCGCTTTGAACTTTTAATTTCAAAGTTTTCAATACGATTTCAATGTTTACTAGAAACCGGAAATAGCTTAGTTGGACTTGCTTTGCAATATCTTTTTTAAGGATTTTATTTGTCACAGAGATAACTGGTATTCTTTATTTGTAAGAGGAAAAATAAGGGTCGCAAATGAAATGAAACAAAATCTCCAGTCTTTTTGGTTGATTAGAAAAACTGGATGTTTTTTTATTGTGGTCACAGCCAAGAGGAAGGTATTTAGATAAACAAGTATAGTCAATGAAAGAGTTATTTGCCCTTAGAAATCGAAAGTAAAGTAAACACAATTCAACAACAGTTAGTAGTAGGTCAAATGCATCTCATTGATAACGATTTGTATTTTTTTTATCTCTACATTTAGATTAAAATTCCCCCCATTCACAAAGCAGGTAGGGAAATTTCCCCTTTATATCTTTTATATCTCGTACCGTGTTGAATTTATATCTTAAAGTTTAATAACTTCATTGTTTCATTAATATTGATTGTTTTTCATTAATAAACACTGTGGTATGTTAATACTTCAAAACGGTAGGTGTTATAACTATAAATTCAAATACAAAGATGGATATAGTAATATTTTTGAGAGCTGGCCACTGTTTTCAAGGCATTCCTACTGTAAAGGGGGGAGGAGGGGGAGGAGAGGGAGTGGGGGGCGGGCTACATATACACACTCTGGGCTCTGGGCAATTATTCTATTACTTAGTAAAGTAATAAGTAGGGTATTTGCTGTGTCATGTTTCAAGAAAATAGAAATTTATTTTAATATGAATAGACAGTGTTCTACTAGTCTTGTTCAAGCATTACCTAGTTAACAAGATCCTTGGAAACTCCCATAGTTATCCTTATAGAAACTTTCATTCTTCTCTCTTAATCATGTAATTAAAGTGTTTTAATTGCATACAAACAGGGTGCAAGTTAAACTATTTTACTGAGTCATTATGTGATAGGGTCTATTGAAGGTCACAAATATACAGATTAACTTCACAATGTCAAGCTCTTACAAAGTAAGGTATAAAACACAATTCATAAAAACTTGACATTGTGAAGATGACATGTTTATTTGATATAAACTCTCACTTGAATATTGTTGACTTTATGTCTGTGAATTTCAAATCTATTTTTCGTTTCAGAAGATTTGTATGTGATATTAAAAAGAAATTAACGTTAATGTGAAAGAAGAAAAATGAAGCTAGTGCAGTGTGCAAAATCTCTGAGACTATTCCAGTCTTCAAAAGGGCTGACAAACTACAAAATTTGGGAAAATGTTGGAAAATCATTGTCAATGTCCAACCAATGTTGGAAAAAAGATGAGAAAACAGAGAAAGGGAAATCTGAGTATTATTTACCTCAACTAGAAACTCCATGTTATAAAGAATTTACTCAAACAGAAAATGGTGGAACTCAGTCGAATTTTAAAGGATTAGAAACAGATTTTCCCTGTTTAACTAGAAAGTAAGAATTCCGATTAATATATTTACAAGGTAACAACTGTTTAAAAATCAAAACTTCCCTCTTACACTGCATTTAAACATTGTCTTTTATTCCACTGGGACAGCTGAGTTGGTAGAAAGTTGGATTGTTGTTTGCTATACAATTAAGTGCCTTGAGTTTGAATATTTTAATGCCTGTGCTTCTTCAGGGGGTTAACAGGTGTTTCTGTAACAGTGTCCCTTTCATGTGATCTGTATAACCTATTGACCTATTGATGTGGCAATGTCAGCCAATGGGAACTGAATATGAATCTAAGCAGTACCCAAATATGGTGTTCATTAGATCTCTCACTGTTTCAATCTCTTCTTCTATTTATATTCCAGTAAAACAACAGGGCCAGAACCAGATTATCAGAATGTCACGGAAGGTTTTAAAGTTTTTACTTCCACGGAACCATTCCACATGCGATATAATAACGGAATCCTGCCAGAGTTAAAGATAGCGTATGAAACATGGGGAACTCTGAATGAAACTAAATCTAACGCTGTATTAGTAATGGCAGGTCTATCAGCTAGTTCTCATGCTAAAAGTCATAAGGTTTGTATACAGATAATACTAGACTAAAACTGCTATTCCACTCATTGCACACTGCATGGCATGGCCTTTTTTTTCTAAGCATGAGAAAATAAACGTTTAGAAAAATTTGACACTAAGAGGAAATAATATAATATATATCTGAGTAGGAGATAAAACAGCCATTATAAAGTTCTATGATGTAATGTTAACATACAGTAGTTTAGTTAAATTAATATCACCTGGGTATATGATGTTTTATTTACATTCAGTTTATTAAGTAATTAACTAAAATTATTATAATAATATTTCAGGACAACCCCCTACCTGGCTGGTGGGAGAAGTTTGTAGGACCAGGCTGTGCTATTGATACTAATGAATTCTTCGTTATTTGTACCAATAATCTGGGTGGATGTTACGGCTCTAGGTAGATCATTGTGATTTTCCCTGGGGGGTAGGGGCAGGGCGGGGGCGAGTGGGGCAGATACCTTAAATCATTCATATTATTATTCAAATTCTTACTGAAGGTTTTTCCCCAGCATTTAAGAATTGTTAGGCAAGGTAATATACACCCACTGGTAGCTTTGATTTTAAATAAAAATATTTAGCAGTAGGCCTACAGTAACAATCACCAGTATGAAATATTCAACCTTCAGTAGTACACTTCTTTCAGAAATTTTCAATATTTGTGTATTTCAGTGGCCCATCTACCATCAATCCCTTGACAAACAAGGTAAATATTACAACTATACTCCAATATTGACTGTCACTGTTGCAACTTGCATTTTGTTTTATCATAAATCTTTACTTTGTGACCTAGGCCAGTGCTTTTATGAGACTATTTACCATCTAACAGAAATAATTCATTTCAAACATCTGGCCTTGTAGATATATCTTGGTTGTTGTTAAAAAAGATTTAAGGTAAAAATTGATTTATGAAGAACTCCTTTGTTTGTTTCAGAGATATGCCACCACATTTCCTATTGTTAGTATTGTTGATATGGCTAAAGCTCAGTTTCTATTACTGGACTTTCTTGGTATTGAGAGGGTATGTTCAGTTTTATACACATAAAACATATAGGGCCTAGGTCTAATCATTGAGGTTGTTAACTTAGCTTATTCATAAAGACAGTTTCAAAACCTAGCTAAATATTGTGTTACTCAGAGATTCATGATGTAGGACCTTCTGACAACAGAAGATTTCAAGTTTTCAAGCACTTGACAAGTTAATATGTTAGTAAAAACCTTATCCTTATGTGTGTTGATAAAAATAGCATAATAGAACAAGTTGTTACTTACATGTCAAGCTGTGTTGTCTCTCAACTCTGTGTTTTTATTGTTACTCCATGCTTCTGTCAACTAAACTCTGTGTTTTTATTGTTACTCCATGCTTCTGTCAACTAAACTCTGTGTTTTTATTGTTACTCCATGCTTCTGTCAACTAAACTCTGTGTTTTTATTGTTACTCCATGCTTCTGTCAACTAAACTCTGTGTTTTTATTGTTACTCCATGCTTCTGTCAACTAAACTCTGTGTTTATCTTCATTTTTAGCTTCATGCCTCTGTAGGCTCTTCACTTGGTGGAATGTTATCATTGATGTCTGCTGCTCTGTATCCAGAGAGAATGGGCAGGTAACTCTCATGATCTTAAACAAAGGGAGATAACTCTCACACTCTGAAACACAGGGGCATGTAACTCTCATAGTTTTAAATCGCAGGGCTAAGTAACTCTAGTTACTTTCCTGTGTACTATAGAATGTTCTGGTTGATTCCTTACTCCTGTTCAATGAGTTCATAGGTCTAACCCCTTATATTGAAGTTATCCCCCATTTTCAAACCAGCTGTAATGATAAGGATTATGTGTCAAGAATGAAATGAATGGAGTTTTATTTCCTACTCTGCACCTAACTAGCTAATGAAAACAACCCCATGCAGTGTGCAATGAAGGACATTTTGCCAAAACTAGCATTACCTTACTCTTTATGAATATCCTACTGTCTGTGTCAGCCCCCCTGACCTTGTCAATAATAAGAAGTTTTACTTATTTTTAGGTTTGTGTCAATCTCATCGTGTGCCAGTTCTCACCCATCCTCCATCGCTATTAGATACCTACAGAGGAAGTGTATCATGTCTGACCCCAACTGGAATAAAGGATATTACTATGATAAACCTGGAGGGTATCCTAAAGTAGGGATGAAACTAGCTAGGTGAGTTTATAAGGAGTCAAAGGGAGGGGTGGGGACAGGTTAGAAAGGGCAATTTAGCCTGGGGATAGGTGAACAGTTGAGGATGTGGTGTAAGAGGGTGGGGATTAGAGACTAGGATACAGGGGAGACAGAATGGTGCTAGGAGGGTATTTTAAAGTTAGAATGAAACTAGCTAGAGAAAGGGGAAGGGAGAGGTTTTGTTGGGGGTAGGGGGAAAGTGGGTATTGCTGGTTGAATTGATAACACTTTTTTTAAAGTGAAACTGGAAGTTATCAAATGTGACAGCCACCTGATTTTATTTTTACTAGAGAACTAGCTACTATGACGTATAGAAGTGGTCCAGAATGGGATTTAAGATTTGGTCGAGGTTTTATAGAAGAGAATGAGAATGTGTCTCTATGTCCAACGTTTACTATAGAGAGTTATATCGAATACCAGGGAGAAACTTTTAGTACTAAATTTGACCCCAATTCACTTCTCTACATCTCTAAGGTAGGATTTATCAACTCTACTTTCAATTTCAAAGAAGACAAAGCAAGAGTTTAAAATTGCAGTTAGTAAGTCAAGGCATACTCAAACCTGTGGAACACCTGATGCCACTTTGTATGACTGAGTATCCTTTTAGAGAATTCAGATTTTTATTATAATTTATTCAGGCCATGGATCTATTTAATATTGGTGAAGAATATAAAAATACAGAGGAGGCGTTTAAACGAATTCAATGTCCAGCCATGATTCTCGGAGTTCAGTCGGATATTTTATTTCCAATCTGGCAACAGAGAGAACTTTACCAGCTACTACAAAAATCAGGTACGTTATTGTGGTGGGGGTGGGGCTGATTACATGTCAAAGTTTCTCATTGGTCAGATTGATGATTGATGATTGATGATTGATGATTGATGATGACTAGACTCTTCAAATGTTCAGTAAAAAATTTAAGTTAGAAAAGAATATGATACTATTCTTGTAAAAATTTCCCTCATTGCACACCCCATGAAATCGCCAGCCTTTATTTAACTACTGATCTATATTTCTGATGTTAAATGACTTACTACAAACATCACTATAATAAAGTTCTATTAAAACTTGTTTTATCTTTTAACAGGAAATCCAGCTGTAACTTTCTATGAATTAAATTCTATTTATGGTCATGATACATTTTTATTAGATTTAAATGGTGTAGGTGCAGCAGTCAAGGTAAGCATCCTATCAAGTAGGAATTCACAATACAATTTATTTAACAAAGATAGTATGAGATGAGCTCTAGTCAATTACTTTACATTGAGTCCAATAATACAGCTGTCCTGATGAGGATTGTGTATCTGAAACATGTAACAGCAGTATGAGATGAGCTGTAGTTCAGCCTAAGAAATTACTTATTTTATTTTTTTCAGGGATTTTTAGAGACAAATTTAAAACAATATGGCTGGAATACGAAACATCAATTATAGTAAAACTCTGGTTGAAAGTTGAATCATCTTAAATATGCCTTATCTTGTTAAATAATCATCTAACCTTCTACCTTCACGAGTTTGTATCAAATTTTGATGGCACAATTGAAAATATAATTGAAATTATGATTTTTTAATGTTTTATGCTAAATAATCACAACTATGCAAAGGATTTTTGATTTTTCAATTTATTATTTTATCTTAATTCTGTTGAAAATTGTTATTTTGTTATAATAAATGATAAAATAATGTTAATTTCATATAAAATATATCTTTTGTTAAATAATTATTTTATGAATTAATGGAAGAAGAAATTTAATATTCTACAGAGCCAACATTGGTGTTTTTAAAAAGGTTCTCACTCTTCCCCTTGTAAACAACTACAGTACCCTCATCATTTACTCTCTCAACCCTACTCCACCCAGGCTGTAGGTAGAGGGGCCCCTCCCCTAACAAAATTTGGGCCTCCCCACCTCTGAAAAAGTTAGATGACTTAAATGACATGTTGAGTCACTAAAGTTGAGCCCCCTTAGACCCTGGGCTAGCTAGGGGCCTGCTCCACCCTGACAACATAAAGTTACTCACCCCTCCCCCACAACTACAATTGTACGTTAAGATATTTTATTTGAATAAAAAACAGGAAGAAAGCTGATATTAGTAGAAACTGTAGTTATTATTATTATTATTATTATTATTATCGCACACTGACTGAGATTAGTCAGATGGTAGAGTTCAATATTAGACTGGGGACCAACCCAACACCCCTTCATAGTTAATCAACTCTTCCACACATGCATATTTTATATTACACTATCTTTATGTGGATTAGTTCAATAAAAAAGTAAGGGGTGTTTTGTTACCAAATCACACTATTTCAGTCTTTTTATGGTATAAAACAGAAAGTAACTTTTTTAGAACATTGCTCACAGATTCTATGATAATTCAGTTGTTTTACTTCATAATTACTGAAATATAACTGAAATTTTCAGTCCTGTACTTTCTGTTTAAACCATAAATTAATAAATTTAGTAACATCACACTTCATAATCTTAAAACTTTGTTATCTTTTGTTATTATGGCACATGTAACACAATGTAACACAATGTAACAGAAAGAGAGCTCAATTTACAAATAACACAAACATAACACAAATATAATACAAGTTACAATGTAACACATATATATATATATATATATATATAAGAACTTAAATAACAAAATAACACAAAACTAATACAATTTACAAATATACACAATGCTAACAGGACATAGATATTTAAGACAATTTACAACACAAATTTACACAGACACAATACAACTTTATTTTCCTTGATGGAAGAGCACATATAAAATATCAAGAAGACATATAAAAAGATATTTGAGAGAAAGATTTACAATAAGAGCACGTAGACGTTAGAGAGGGGCACCAAATATTTTATAAAAACACACTTCAATAAACATACACAAACACCAATCATTATTCAAACACTTTCATAAAAACACATGAAAAAGAGGGCACCATGACTTTTTAGAGACACACATAAAAAGGGCACAATTTAGTTATACATTGGACACAATTAAATATTTCATATTGAAGACAACCACGTTAAAACACAGCAGATAATGCTGGTTAGTTTGATGTATAAATTTCTAATACTATATCTACTATTCATTGTTAAATTTTATATTTTCTTATAGAATTTTTATTTTCAAATTTCATTTTAATTTAAATCTCAATTAAAGAAAAATTAATAAAACTCGAGACAAATATCATAAAATATTCTACATGTTTTTACTGATTTTTATTATAAAATTTGTAATTATTTACACAGAGACTGGTCCTTCTGATGACAGAAATCATGCCAGCCCTTGGGGTGGTGTCCTTCTTCTCTCGCTAGACCCATAATTTAGTCTTTTATTTTACACTTTGAAGTATTCTTTATAAATATTTTGAGCAATTATTAAATTGTTTAAACTAAAGAGAATTATTCTGAGCAAACTGAACAGAAACTAACAAAATAACAAATTAAAAAGAAAGGTGGGGCAGGGTTGATTTTAACTTTTTATAATTTTAATATTTCTCTGTTGAAAGTGAGAAACTATAATAACATAACAAAAAACATATAAAAATATAAAACAATAATATAAAACAAGGGTGGGAATGGTTTGACTTGTCTTTTAACTTCAATATTTCTCAAGACTCGAACCCACAGCACCAAATCATCCTACCTTACGGAAACTTCAAACCTATAGCAGCTAACCACCCTAGCAGACGACAATCTTGCTCCAAACTGATCTATTTCACTGCCTAGCAGTAACAATTTAGATAATCATTCTTTTAGTCCTAACAAATAATATCAGAACCATACAATTATAACATAAACATACAAAAAATATCAAATAAACATAAAACTAATATAAATACAAACTTGAAGCATAATTTCTATCAAATATTGAAATGTGGCTATCGATTATAAAATTTGCAAAAATCTCAAAAAAACAGGAACAATTGAAAATCAGCCAAAATAAATTGAATATAAAAATTGAGACAATATTTACACGAATTATAAAAAATATGATCATTTGACTAGAGGTGTTTCATTGGATAATAAATTACATCACGATAAACATTGTAATCATAGACAGTAATCATAGACAGACATTGTAAACATAGACAGACATCGTGAACATAGACAGACATCGTAAACATAGACAGACATCGTGAACATAGACAGACATCGTGAACATAGACAGACATCGTAAACATAGACAGGAAGATCATAAAGATAGACAGGAAGATCATAAAGATAGACAGGAAGATTATAAAAAGCGGGAGACAAGACAGTGATTGATAGCGTAAATGAGAAGAGTTTGTAAAATATTTTCTAGTTGTTTAGTAAACAATGTCTATTTACAAGAAACTATAAGACAATATATTAAGAGTGTGAATGTAAACAAGTTGTACTAAATTCAAGACAATATTTATAAAAATGATCATTCTAAAAACTTTAAAAAAATGAACCTAATTAAATTTTACATTCTAGTCTTACACATCTTACAGAGCTAATGAAGACAGGCAACACCATGTAGTGTGCAATAAGGGTAAACAAGACTGAGAACATATTGATTAACCAGTCAGTTTTAAAAGCTACTAAGAATGTTCTGATTAATTGAACACCACACACAAATGAGAGTTAGAAATGTTCACAATTTGTAAATAACCAATTATAACTAAAGCAAGATTAAGGTATAAATTGTACTATTTATATTCTATATTATGACTTAATTTGAGCATTTTCTAACAATAAAATATAAACATATGTATATTATAATAATTAAACTAATATATACAATAAGCCAGGGAGGGGGGGAAGGGTGGGGGGGGGGGAACCACCTCAATTATAAAATTACATCAAAAATTCTATCCTAAAACTGTCAAAAAAGGTTAAAAAAACAAAAATTAACAAAGAATTAAAATTTTGTCATGTTCTAAATTGGTGTATAAATCATGGTTTCAAAAATCCAACATATTCCCATAAAAAGCTGATTTGACTGGGTCTTTGACTAATTGGTATTGAGCTAATGAAGACAGGCTATCTCATGATTGAGTAAGGTTTAAAATTGCTCAAGTAAAAAAAAACAAACAAATAATAAATTATGTCAAGCACCGATACGATTATCTTATATTACATATTAAAGGGATTTTAAAGAGATTTTTAGTTTTTTTTTTATTAAAGACTTCTATTTGGATCATTCCAGTATTCAATCAGATGTCAGATGTAATTCCTGATATTATATTCCGTCACGGTTCCAATAGTCCAATAGCAATAGCCATAATTAGTTTTAGTGGAAGAATCACAGATGTTTGATTGAACTTTGAAAGGTCCGAATCCATCAATATTCTGAATACACATAACAAAATCAGAAAATCTCTTTACAATAACTTTTAGCACATTGACCACAACAAGTTTTTAACGACTTGAATCTAAACCTCAGACTCAAAACACAAATTGGTAGCATGAGATAAACTTGAGACAAACAAACAAACAAACAAACAAACACTGTGATATTTGAATGAAATGGAGTTTTACATCCTAGGACATGTTTAACAATATCCCAAACTATAAACACTAACAAAACACTTCAATAATAATTAAAATATATTCCTAATTAATAATATTAATTAACTCAAACTCAGTTCAGAATATTTACAGACAAATCTTAAAAATATTTACAATAATAATAAATAATAAATAAAAACAAAGAATATAATAAAGTTGTCTACTGGTGAGATATTAATATTGTGATATTATAATTCCCAGGACTTGACTTGTAGTTATATTTGAATTGAGAGGATACATCTCTAGTTATGTTCGGAACTGGTATAAACTTTCACAACAGGTCAATATCCGGTTTAAAATCGTCTTTCAAGATTAAACTAATATTTTTATCAGTGTCTTTAATAGTTGGTTGATTAGTTGGTATTGAATTGGTTGATGTCCAGTAAAAATCTATATGTTTAAAATAAAATGGGTTTTACACTCTACTGAACTACTGAAGATCAGCAACCCGATGCAGTATGCACTGAGGGAAATTTTGCCATTGTTGTCAAATAATATACTATTTAAACTATCTATCTAATATAACTATTATAAACTAAGTTTTTTAAACCGACGTCGTCTCTGACGTTTTAACGTAGAACTCTCATATTCTTCTCGTGTTTTTACAATGAAATTTAAATCCGAGGAGTTGTTCAGGGCGTAGAAAACATTGGCTCTTTCTGGGATTAATAATTCTGAAAAACAAACAGATTGATATCAGCTGTACAAGATATAGTGTTTCAGTCATCTTTAATACCACCCCTCAACTTTCTATTGAACTCTTCCTAACAAACATACTTAATATATCAATATGATACTGTATATGTAAGATTGGAAGAGCTCATTTGTAAATTAGGTGTCACAAACTGAATGTTAAACAGGAACATGTCACCCTGTTCTATTTCAACTGGAATCTTGAATAATAATAATAAATAATAACATACCTCCATCTTCTAGAAGTTGTAATAGTCTATAATCTTATAATAATAAATAATAACATACCTCCATCTTCTAGAAGTTGTAATAGTCTATAATCTTATAATAATAAATAATAACATACCTCCATCTTCTAGAAGTTGTAATAGTCTATAATCTTATAATAATAAATAATAACATACCTCCATCTTCTAGAAGTTGTAATAGTCTATAATCTTATAATAATAAATAATAACATACCTCCATCTTCTAGAAGTTGTAATAGTCTATAATCTTCAGGTTTAGCTTCAATAGAATATTTCTCTAAAACTTTACTGATAACATTATGAGTATGATCTGTATTCGTTAGCTAAAATACAAAATATCTTTATCAAATATACTAGTCTCTATATATAGTACATCTAGATATATCAAAACAGAACCTGAAACATGTTGTTACTCAGAGTTTCTTACATTTCTACTATCTATTACTCATTTCTATCAAACAAGTGTTACTCTTTCTATTGACTATTATAACTGATGAATCTTTATCACTTACCATAATACTTTTATAGACATGAGTATCAGGTGTTTCTGGATCATTATTCATACTAACTTTAATAACGTAGGTATCAGAAGATCTGAAGGGAGAGGCTGAGTTAGGAGATTGTCCTGTCGTCTCTCCGCTATCAGAACTTAACACGGACGAGGCTGATGAATGATAATGAGTAGTTATCTAAAATATAATTTATAATTAAACTTGTTAAATCTTTATTAAAATAGAAATCCTGTTTCACAAAAACAATAAATGTCAAATTCCACAAAACAAATTCTTATCATATGATTTTTTGAGGAGGAATTGAGACTAAAATTTGAAGAATTTCTAATAATTGATAGAAAAGTGATGAAATAATTGGGTTTAAGGAGGTTAAATATTGAGACTAGTTAAGATTTCTCAATGAAGACTCATGTTGTATTAAAGTTAAGAAACTTACAATAGGAGCAGTTAGAGCTGCCGAGAGAGTATCAGGTATACTGGACATACTTTTACGATTTTCTAACCCACAAGCAAACAACGCGAACTTGGTGCTGTCAAATTTTACAGGTCTGTGTCCCAAACTGAAAAAATACAAAAATCATTCTTTAATTTTATCATTGACCCTGTTCAGTTCAATTTTGCCATGCTCATACTCCTGTAGACCTTATGTTGGAAAATTAACCTCCATTTCTAAAACTAGCTGTTCTGGTGAGGATTGTATATCTGAAACATGTGTTGACATGAGAGAGGATCACTTTTATCAAATCATGTACAATTTACAGTAAAAATTTAGAAAATGAACTGTGACCAATCACAAATTACAAGTTAAAATTCATAAACCAGGTCAAAAAACAATAATTTAGCTTATTAAATAATCTAAAGACTAGAAGCTTAAAAAACAACATGAATCTAAGGTAGAGTGAGAAATTATTTTAAACGATGATTCGCTTTGTTGCAGAATTGGTTTACAGAGGTACCTAACTTTACAGAGTAGATCTCTAGAATCAATGACATCAGTCTTAGAGGTATTGTAAATTATTACAACTAATTTTAGACCTTGTACCTATTAGTAATTATATATAATTTTAGTTATGTAAGATATTTATAATTCTGTAATTCCCAACCCTGTCAGAAATAACAGTAAATAGTTGTAAATTGTTTTAGTATATATTACTATTAAAACAGAAAGTTACCAGACCATTACAAGTGATATTTTGAGTGTTATTTGGAAGTTGTATACAGATTTAACAGTTTTGTTATTTATTGTTAAGAACTAATAGAGGAATATAACAGGCAGTGATATTAAAATTGATTACACTCTAGTCTAACAGTTATAGTCTTTTATTATTAACTACTTTACAATGAATGAATGAATGAATGAATGAATGAATGAATGAATGAATGAATGAATGAATGAATGAATGAATGAATGAATGAATGAATGAATGAATGAATGAATGAATGAATGAATGAATGAATGAATGAATGAATGAATGAATGAATAACTAAATGAATGACTATATGAATGAATGACTGAAAGAATGAATGAATTGCTGAATGAATGAAGCCAGTAAGAGATTATTTAAATCAACTGATAGAATCTTACCAGTTACCCAATACGGGGTGACGGATCGGCTCCGAGCCTGAACGTATTCGAAACATTGGCAAACTTCTGCTGGGGATTAATACAAATTTTAAAATAAGACAAGGGCAATAACCCAAGATAGAAAATTTAAATACCATACGTAATACAGAAAAAGTATAAAATAAGACAAGGGCAATAACCCAAGATAGAAAATTTAAATATCATACGTAATACAGAATAAGTATAAAATAAGACAAGGGCAATAACCCATGATAGAAAATTTAAATATTATATGTAATACAGAAAAAGTATAAAATAAGACAAGGGCAATAACCCATGATAGAAAAGAACCCGAAACAATACACCTAATATAGAAAAGAAAATATAAAATGCCACAGTTAAATATGATTATTTTAGTAATTATAACAGTAAAACTCTTACAATACAAATAAAAACACTTCAAGAATAATTACTACAACAAGAAAAAATTAAGATCTGAAGTCACATGTTCTTACCTGGCTGATTTTTTCTTTAATTTAGCACTACTTTCAGTTTGAGGTTCAATACCACATGACATATCATGACTGAAATATTAAAACACAATATAATCAATAGAAGTGTACAATGAGGGAAATTATTTTATAATAATAATATAATAATAATGATTTATATATTGTACAGCAATCCAATCCTCTTGGTATTTCTCAAGGAACGACAGATAAATATCTGTTTAAATCTTTGACTGTTGAGGGAGATCTTCATATTAACAGGATACAGCATAGAACCATGGTTTATTGTCCCATTTGATCATGTTTATATCAGCCCCTCAACTTGACTCATTTTATCAAAATTAAATTACTCGACCAAACCATCAGTCATCTTATATTGTTGAATAAAATTGAAGAATTTCAAACTTTGTCACAAACCTTTGAGTATCAGAATAAATTTTAACAGATTCAAACCAGACCCAGAATTTCTCATCTTTTTTAAAAGAATAAATCTGAGCGGCTGATTGAAGCAGTTTTAATTGAGCAATAACTTCAAATTCTTTACGATGTTTTTCAAAGTTAATGAGGTTTTCATCTGTGATATCAGGAAGTGCTGTGTCAATCATCGTCAAGTCTGTTAAAAACGTTCCTAAATATGGCACCGTTCCTTGAACTATTCCCTGAAAATAAGATGAAATATGAAGAAGATTCACAAGTCCAATTTCTTAATTAAAATGTCAGATGAAACTAGAAAAATATACAATAAATTAACTAATCTCTGAAGAATATCAACAGAAATATTTTAATAAAACTATCAATAGTATTTTGAAGCTGATATTCAAATTCAGATAAAAATAACTTTTAAAATTTTAAACCAATAAACTTACATTTTCAATCCAGGATTGTCGTTTGAGTTGATTTCTACGTTGAAGTGTTTTATTCTGAGACTCAATATCAGGAAATTTAGCCGTGGCTTCCTGGAAGTAAAATATATAAAATTCTTTAATCTACAGGTTTTAATCCTGGTATTAATTGATTGGTTTATTTCTTCATGATATTACAAATTATTTATCAGCTAACAAGAATCAAGTATAAAAGAAGTTTTCATTCACAATAAGCTAAATTCAGAGGAAATATTAAGGATACATACCTTCATGAGTAATTCTCTCGAAGTTATTTGATTATTCTCTTCACTGAATATTTCTGATAACTCAGTAAATAGCACCATTACATTTCTAGACAAAAATAAAAAAAACTTCTATCATCCCTCCATACAATATCTTCTAAACTAGATAGATTCTAAACTAGATAAATTCTAAACTAGATAAATTCTAAACTAGATAAATTCTAAACTAGATAAATTCTAATCTAGATAAATTAATAATAACTAATTAAAACTTGAGTTATATTAGCTGGTATAGTAAATAACAATCACCTCAGTATTCATGTATAACTACTTACTTGGGTAAAGCTGACCAAGTTTTTCTCAGTCTATAAACAGGACTAGACTGTAAACCAGAAATTATGGCACGAAGTGAGGAGAAATTTTTGAGATCACGTAACTCTTGAGCTATTTCAATCCATCGTTGAAGTATTTTGGCTCGATGAGACGTCTTCATGCCTTTAGTATTGAGTATTGTAGATATGACACGTAAAGATACGTTGTTAAATTCTTGAATCGTTGCTGCAACAGTTAATGGATCTTCACCTCCCTTCTTCCGTCTTCGAGACCAGACTGAACCAAGGCAATGATGTGGAACAACTTTACGGAATAATTCCTGAAAGTTTGTAGAAAACGCCAGTGAATTGTTAAAAAAAACAAAGATGATACTGAAAGCAGTGTACAATGAGGAGATTGTGTTAAATTACTCTTTCTTTTATCGGATTGTTGCTGAAACTAAATTTGAGGCCGAAAAAAAGGGTGTTGTAGATCTCCTACCCTTTCTCCCATTACAGATCACTTTTTCTCTCCCTATCAGCCCTTCTCTTATCTTCTCCTACCCCCAATATCACCCCCTGCCTACTTACAGCATCTTTATAAGTCAGTTGTTGTGCTATTAGGTGGTTTGAAAGTTGATTAAAGTCTATATGTTCTGTTTCTCCGTTGTGTTGGTGACGAGAATTCCGACGAGCTGCTGGTTTCTCAATCTGCATTTTAGACATCGTGGCTTCTACAAAATAAAATGGCTAATTTAGAACATCCATGACAAAAATATGTTTATGCTGTGTTTGGCTTTATGGCATGGCATCATGAATTTTGGTTATACTTGGCCCTCCACAACTTCCCAATAAAATAAAATGCGAAAAGTTTTGGCCAAAAACTAGCTGGAAGACAGGATCTTCGTGAACCTTAGTTGTTATCCTTGTAAAATCATTGCCAAGAAGTTTGGTCAAAAACTAGCAGGAAGACAGGTTTCTCGTGAACCTTAGTTGTTATCCTTGTAAAATCATTGCCAAGAAGTTTGGTCAAAAACTAGCTGGAAGACAGGTTTCTCGTGAACCTTAGTTGTTATCCTTGTAAAATCATTGCCAAGAAGTTTGGTCAAAAACTAGCTGGAGAATTTTTATCCTTAATCTCAATCATGTGGTGTCTTACCTAAGTTTTTACTTTCTTTTTGAAATTTTTCCAGCCTATGTCGAGCTCTGAGAGCAAGATCACTGTCTGGGATATATTCCTTAGCGAAATCTTCGAGATCTAGAAGACAGGGGTAGTCAGGGGGTTCTCGGAAATCTTCAGATTGAGTATCTAACCATACTGATAATACAGATCTAATAGTTCTTAAATAAAAATACAATTTACAATGATTACTGGTAGAGAATTAAAAATCAAATAATATATCATCCTATAGGCCTTGCAGTGTGCAATGAGGGAAATATATCTGCTATGCTTTGACAAAGGTTAAGATTTACTTGCTTCACAAATAATTTTGAGTTATAAGCAAATTTAGGTGAAAGGTTAAAAGAAACTAAATGTATTATAAGCCTAAAATAATAAATTGACAACAGACTATGCCATGAAGTGTACAATGAGGGAAACCAGAGAAACTGAAACTTGATGAAACCAGATATGAGAAACTGAAACCAAACAACTCACTTCTGTTGTTCTTCCACCATATCACTTCGATCATCGTCTTTACTGACAGATTTTAACATTATATACCTAGAATAGAGATAGAATTAGTGATGCCAGCGTCCCTGAGACTGGGGGTACAAATAGAGGGCAGACTGACTTAATGGGGGGACAACTGTCGCAGTTCAATTCAAAATACATTAACTCTGTGGAAGAACATAAGAGCCAACCTTGTTAAAACTTGTTTTGGAGTAGCGAAGGTCCTTACCTATCCATGATGGTTTTTAAAACTTGTTTGGGAGTAGCGAAGGTCCTTATCTATCCATGATGGTTTTTAAAACATGTTCGGGAGTAGCGAAGGTCCTTACCTATCCATGATGGTTTTTAAAACTTGTTTGGGAGTAGCGAAGGTGCTTACCTATCCATGATGGTTTTTAAAACTTGTTTGGGAGTAGCGAAGGTCCTTACCTATCCATGATGGTTTTTAAAACTTGTTTGGGAGTAGCGAAGATCCTTACCTATCCATGATGGTTTTTAAAACTTGTTTGGGAGTAGCGAAGATCCTTACCTATCCATGATGGTTTTTAAAACTTGTTTGGGAGTAGCGAAGGTCCTTACCTATCCATGATGGTTTTTAAAACTTGTTTAGGAGTAGCGAAGATCCTTACCTATCCATGATGGTTTTTAACACTTGTTCGGGAGTAGCGAAGGTGCGATATGTTGACAGGAAGACGTTTAAATGTGAAGAGTCAAGGTCACCTTGACATGTTTCCATACATTCCACCAGTTTCTCTAACGTTCCTGATTTTATAACTCGAACTTTCATCGTCTCCCACATCAGATGGGACATAAACTTCTCTCCCTCTTCCAGCTGGAATTAAATTAATTGAGATTTTACTTAACTTCTTCTGTTTGGGCTGATATACAGGGTTTTTTTACATGCAAACTGTGTCACATGGGGACCCAATTTATTGTCATATTTAATGAGCATGACCTACATCACTGACAAGAGACAGACAGGTTAAAAAATCTGAAGGTATTTGTAGGTATAACTATTCCGGGATCATATTATAAACCTTTACTTTGACCGTTAGCAAGCCTTGTGAGTTATCAGCATTCTTATTTCTAGTTATTACAATATTTTACTGAATAAAAGACTGAATGTGTCAAGACTCAAGAGCAGCTGAGAGAACTCTAATTAATAAAACTCACCCGATCATGTGACCTGTAGGTTACCCGTTTTAAATAAACCATATATACAGCCCCCTCCTCTCGTTCTTCCCGCCAGAATCGATTTCCATCTTCCTGAATAAATTATTATATCAAAATAACATGACTGGGGGTTTTAATATTTTAATAAAAAGTTGCGAGATGTCCAATAGATGATAGGAATACTGTAATAGGAGATTTCAATGACATTTTATGTTTCATAGCCTACTGTATCCAGTCCTGCATTTCCCTAGTCAGATTCAGACCCGTAGAATAAAAATGGAACTGGTGCCGAAAGCACAGGTCATGTGAGATCTGAAAGACCAGGAAATGGAGAAATGAGTTGTGTTGTAATCCTTCCATTGGCCTTTGATCTTTAGATTTAAAACAGTCTTTGAACAAGGCAAGTATTAAAGAGAAGTTTCTATTATATGTTGTACAAACGAGGCCAGTTACCAGATCAAAACAGAAAGAAATTCATTATGAAATAAGACAGCTAACAGCTAATAAAGTTTGACAGTGATAAATGACGTCTGGATTGTCGACCCTTGTCTAATTTACCGTTACTTTGACAGGTGCCCGTTACCTGTTCCTTCCCCGCCCAATTTACACTTTTCTTACCTGGCTTTCTTGTCGACCTAATTCCATTCCTCTCTAAAAAACAATTTTCATCATTATTTGCAACTTTGTGCAAATTTTTAGCACCATTTTTGCCTAAAATCTTCAGATTGCACTTCGCCCTGGCTTACTTCCGGTTAGCCATATTAGTTTTATTCGGGAGTGTCCGGTGTGACTCGGAAAGTTCCGGTATCACTCGGCTCATTCCGTAATGGTGATGACAAATCATTACTCATCGGTGTCTTTTATGTTTGCCGACTCAAGCCTTTAAAGTTTGCCGACGTGACCTGATCCGAACGTTATCTCTAGTTTATCGCCAATAACCTGAATTTCGTCATGTGTAACATCTTTTACAAACAATTTTTGACAAAAATTTAGAACGAAGGAGTGAAAACGGACGGTACATTTTGACAAGGTGTCATTTTTACCTAGACTTTTAAGATTAATGTTTCAAACTTTAAATTACAGACAAATCTACCTAATTTAACAAATGCATAGCGTTAAATATCTCAGGCTCTGGCCTTATAGTCCCTTTAAATTTTTCAAAGTTATTTGTGTTCTGTAGTCAAACTAAGCCAACTCTAAATTGCAGTTTTCTCCCTTTGACCATTGACGTGTGAAATAATTGTCGACTGACTCAGATTCCGTGCATTACGTTTAGGTTCACATTTGATCTAGTACATTCGAGACAACAACATGGTGAATTTAGGAGATGTTTTCCCTAATTTCGATGCAGACTCGACGATAGGAAAGATTCAATTCCACGATTGGCTTGGAGATGGGTTGGTATTTTGTATTTTTGCTTATTTTTGTAATTTTGCAGTGAAGGGGGTGTGGCTAGTTGACTGTGTTTTCGGGCTCTTTGACTATTTCTGTCATTTCAGTTAAACTGGAGATTATTTATAAGAAAAGAAGGTCTCTTGAGGTTTGAATAGGTCTGCATGTTTTGCAGAAATTGCTTTATGTATGACAACTGGCATGCTGCATGGCTGAAGGAAATTATAAATGAAGTACCGGTACTTTTTTTTTACCACGACACAATACACTATGTAGGTCTACAGTACAGTCTAATAATTATCTAAAACCTATCTATTATAGTTGGTCCATTATAAAGTATTTACCAGTAAATAGCTCAAGATTGTAAATGACCTATAACTGTAATAATAGGCCTACAGTGATAATAGTTTAAAGATAATACAAAGATAATATGTATTTATGGCCAACAGTTGATCTGAGAATTTAAAATTCCTCAGTGAGTTTGGTCAACCTATTTTCGGTTGGTGATCTACTGAGGCTTGTCCTTGGCTTGTCCTTGTCCTTGTCCTCACTGGAAGCAAACGTCAACTTCTACAAGCAAACCGACAATGACTTACCCTTGTTATAATTGCAATTAACCTCTTGTAGTATTGACAAGTTTTATAGTTTGCACTTTTCAGAGAGTCCACAAGGCTAGAATTATTTACATCTAGTTCTTGCAGAGTTAAAAAACTCCAACATTTCAAGGTTATTGTATTAAATGTTATCAATGACTAAGCTAAAATGATCAAATGTTAAGAATTCAGTCTACCATGAAAGAAAGGTTAAATTATATTTACTGTAGTGTACCAGTATATCAGAATTGACTATTAAATATCACAGTAAGATAGAAAAGGTATTGTAATAAGTGATAAGGGAATCATTGAATGAGTTTGTAGGGGAATAACATTGAAATAAAACATTATTATTATATTATATGTTGTATATTGTAGGCCAGAATATTTATAAGTTTGATAATGCTTGACAAACTGACCTGCTATATATTTTAGAAACGAAAAGTTCAATATTAATTTGACTCATTTTTCTCAACCATATCAATGTTTCAGTTTGTTTGAAAATAAAAATGGCTTGCATGATATTTAGAGTTTGAAATAGTTTTCCATTTAGGAAAGAATCTTGGAAAACAAAAAGTTGGCAACATCTGTTAAACATATTCTGAATAAATGAATAATTTTATGACTAAATTGTAAATATTTGTTTAATGTTTTTTTCATGTAAAATATTTAAAATGATTATTAGGAAGAGTTCAATAAAAAGTCAAGGGGTGTTAGATCTATTACACTATCTCCCGAGTTGATCATTATAGCTTAGACAAAATTTAATATTACCTTTTTAGACAGATAAATAAATCATTTTCTATCTATATTTTAAGATGGGCAATCCTGTTCTCTCACCCTGCAGATTATACTCCAGTATGTACGACTGAACTGGGCCGAGTTGTAAAACTAACTCCAGAGTTTGAGAAGCGAGGTGTAAAACTGATAGCTCTATCTTGTGATGATGTTGATAGTCATAATGGTTGGGCAAAGGTAAGAATTTCTGAGTTTAATATTTCCTCAGTCTCTTGCTCTTGATCAGCTAATTGGCAGACTCATGCCCCTCAAGTATTATATAATGTTGGAAAATTAATTTCCATAACTAAAACTAGCTGTCCTGATGAGGATTGTGTATCTGAAACAAGTCAGCAACATGAGATGAGCTCTAGTCAATTAGCTAACATGAAGTCCTATATAAGAAAGTTAACCTCCATTCCTAAACCTAGCTGTTCTGAAGCAAATTAGACATTCTCTCTGTTAGATACTAAACTTTTAAAATTAAAATTTTGGTCTGTTTTTAGGATGTTATGTTTTTTGCTGGGAGTGAAGGTAAATTACCTTACCCTATTATAGCTGACCCTAAACGAGAACTGGCTGTAAAACTAGGTATGGTGGACCCAGATGAGAAAGATGCTGCTGGTATGCCTCTCACTTGTAGAGCAGTAAGTATTAGTTGAAGGTGTTGAAAGCCAACTCTAGACTGGACTCTCAGAAGCACCGGCCTTGGCATCAGAATTTTGTTTACCTTGAAGGTGATACATTCCTAAGGCATTTAATAGCACTAGTACACAGCCCTAGCCCTGTTACTAAAAATCTCTCAAAAGAATTATTAATAAGTGTGGAATTTTTCATTGAGAAGTACCATTCTCCTAACAAAAATTAATATATGTAAATATTTTCAGGTGTTTATTATTGGACCTGGTAAAAAATTAAAACTGTCCTTTCTCTACCCAGCTACAACTGGACGTAATTTTGAGTAAGTTGATGTTATACATTACAATCTGGAGAGTTTTTATCCTTTTATATTTAATTCTTCTGTATTTAAAACACTTTATATCCATTGACTATTTCAACCTATATTCTCTGATTTTAATTGACCAGATCGCAAATAATTCTTCCCAATTTATGAAACAATGAGATATTCTGGTAATTATAATTTCTGTGTATTTCAGTGAAATCCTAAGAGTTGTGGACTCTCTACAGCTAACTGCTGTCAAGAAAGTTGCTACACCAGTTGATTGGAAGGTCTGTATTCAATTTTATTCTATTGTCCATTTATTTGACAACCATTAAAGAGATTGTAAAGATGTTTATTAAATTTTTTATATATATCAAAGACACTGATAGCATCAATTTACATCATTCTAATTTTCAATCAGACGTCTGTGGTTCTTGTTAAAGAGATTATAAAGATGTTTATTAAATATTTTATATATATCAGGGTCACTGATAGCATTAATTTACATCATTCTAATTTTCAATCAGACGTCTGTGATTCTTGTAATTCCACTAAAATTAATTATTTTACTAGTTATTTTGAAAGCTATCAATGATATATAAGAAACTTTGCAATCATATTACACTTAGTTTTAATTGGAATTACAAGAATCACAGACGTCTGACTGAAAATTGGAATGGTGTGAATCTATGCCATCAGTGTCTCTGATACACATACAAAGTTTCAATATTTAAATGATTTTGGTCATATAACTGTTATCTCCCTCCTCCAAAAACTCAACTCTACAGTTTAGTGTTTGAAATCTTGCTAACTAAGTAAATTGGTCACATATTCAAGGCTCTTGTTAATAATATTTCTGGTTTATTTTTCAGCCTGGACAGAAATGTATGGTAGTACCAAGTGTAAAAGAAGCAGATGAAAAACTTCTTTTCCCTAAAGGAGTTGAAAAAGTGAAAGTTCCATCAGGGAAAGGATATCTTAGATTTGCTGACCCAACAGAAGCATAGAATTATATTTCAATATTTTTTCTATTGGTTGCTTTTTATATTCATAAGAATAACTGGTGCTCTGTTTTCCTGGAGACTCTACAAATTTCTAATTTCACTTAAATAACTAGTGCTGTGTGACCTGGGCCAGTGCTTTCTCTAGTAGAATGAATGAATGTAGAGAATATGAATGAAACAATCTAGGTTAAAGAATTGATTATTATATTACTATTGTTATTTTCACAAATCTGAAATTGATTCCATTCTTATAGAAGTTAATTATATTGACAATTTTTATAATAAACAAACAATAGATCTATCTGATCTTAACTTTTATAAACATTCTTTCTTAATAACTAGTATTTTATTTATATAAAAATAACAGAGATTGAGGAACAGGTTTTCTCCAGAGTTTTTATAAAATGGTCTTTTTAATCTAGGCACAGTTTTTATTTAGAATCCGATTCATAATGGACTTGGTGCTGATTATTATTACTTTAAAGGAATTGACCCTCCAAGACTGGAATAATACTTGAAATTATTGGGTGAACCGCAGTGCCTGTAGGGTGTCCCAAAAAGACAGAAAGACTAAATCCCTGTAAAATTTTGAAGTTGTATTGGTGTTTTGATCTTTGACCTGTAGGCTACCCATGACATTAAACTGCAGTCAATTTTTCCATATAAGCTTATGGAGGATAAAATTAAGGGTGGTCTGAAATATGATCAATTTACAGTCAAAGGGAAATAACTCTATTTAAGAAATGAGAAAACTCTCTAACGTTAGAGGTACGTTAAGTTGTTATTTACAAACATGGCAGACTTCAAGAAAATAAAATCGAAGAAAGTTTTAAGAAAAAGACGCCATTCGTCTGAAAGTGACGGGTCTGACAATGAAAAAGAAGAATCTATGTATGTTGAGGTTTTGTTTTAAAAGGTTTTGTCTGAATTTGAAGGAACTCAACTTGTAATTTCGATTTGAAATAGCTTTTACAAACTTGAAATAAAATGAAACAAATATAAAATCATAATTTATCTTCAATCTCTTCTACACTGTTTTATATAGTCATAATAGATCTTTTTCTTAATGACCCTCCAGTAAATAGTTTGAATTTTATTTTTCAGTCAGAAATTGGAAGAAATTCGAGAATTACAGAAATGTCGTGAAAGACCAAAAGGTGTCAATGCTGCCACACTGGCCCTCGGGAAAAAAATACCCAAAACAGTAGAATGTGAAACAGTAAGTCGTCATTTCTTTTCTGACAATCAGACATGGTTTCACCCTGTCAGTGATATGCAGATGCTAAAGTGTTAGGTGGCTTGGTTCGATAGTGAACATTATAAAGAAGCCTAATGTGATACAGGCTGTACATTTTAAAGTTGGACATTGAAGGTTAATGTTGTTGTAGATTATTTATGATGGTGAGATATTTGATTTAAATTTTGTTGTATTTCAGAGTGACCCATTTAAAATGAAAACTGGAGGTTTTATAGATATGAAGGCATTAAAAGTCAAGTAAGTATTTATTAGTTTGTAAATCACCATTGAATGCTTACTCTAGAGCAGTATTGAGTGCTATACTAAGTTCAATAATCTTAGTTCAATACAATATTTATATGAACATGTATTTTTACCTTATAGACCATTAAAAGTGGATGATGCCCAGGCTATAGGAACAGCGTTTGCTGCTGAAACTAACAGACGAGATGAAGATGCTGAAATGTAAGTTAAAGGTATACTTCCTCTTACGATGACCAAAACATTGAAATTTTAAACCTTTGAAATGAGTCCTTGTTCATCAGTGAATTTACCTGGTGTTATAACTATAACAACAGAATCCCTCTATAATAAACTAAGTAATAATTCATAAACTAAGTAATAATTCATTACATTGTGATCAGAAACATACTTCCAACTTCCAGAGTCATTGTTTTGTTATGATATTATAAAGATTGATAGTTGATTAAGATATATTTTAAATGTATTTAAAATAAGATTGTAATATTGTTTGTAGGGTACGATATGTAGAAGATGCTCTGGCTAAAAGAAAGGGAGGTAAATCTTCACAAGACGAATCTGAGAATTCACCAAGGTAATACTAGTTTATATTTTCAGCAAATGAAATGAAATGAGATATTGGGTCTTTATTGTTGCTATTGAGTTAACTTCTGGATTGAGGTGGAGTTCTTGAATAGTCTTGATAGAAAGAATGAATCAGCTATAACTTCCGGTCTACCAGCTGATCCTTGCCCAATCCTCTTGATATTGATCTTTCCTAGTTTATCTGTACCTATTTACAGCTGGGTGCACTTGAGTAATGAGGAAAGATGACATATTCTAGGTCACTAGATTTTCATACACTGACTGAGATTAAAACCCGCGACCACCATGCTTGACTTGACCAATCAAATGACATCATATAAAGATTTCAATATTCTAACTAAATGAACTACAACCTGTGCTCCAATATAATATATGTTATTTATTGTTGTACAGGCCAGAGAAGAGAGAAGATGAATTATATAATTTACCAGACTATCTTCAGATTAAATCAACATCTAAGAAATCAGAAGACATGTTGTCTAATCAGATGTTATCTGGTATTCCAGAGATAGATCTCGGTATTGAGTAAGTTAAAATTATTTCTACTATTCATTATAAAATACAAAGTTTTACGTCCAAGTTAAGTTTGTTAGGACATCCACATTTATCTACTCTTTTTTAAATTTCCAACTGTTGAGGGAACATATACAGCAGATGGGGTTTTGGTTTATTGTCCCATCTGAATGACAAGATGATTTTTCAATGTCAGCCCGTCTGACTAAAACAAATGTGTAAAAATAAAGAAAAGAGCTGTGTTTTGAGATTTTTCACAATGTTTATGTTTCTTGTAAAATATTTACAGAGCTAAGATAAAGAATATAGAACAGACGGAAGAGGCAAAACAGAAATTATTACATGAACGTCGTAGAAAGAAAGAGAAGGAAGTCTCAGATTTTGTGCCGTCCAATATGGCGGTTAATTTTGTCCAACATAACAGATGTGAGTATAATTAATGTTGTTAAGTGTAGATGTAGGTGATCGGGGCAGGGCTGTTGATTCTCCTAGTCATATTTTTAATCATAATACAAGATATTGTACTAATTACTTGAATAATGACAAGGTCATAAAACATACCATTGCCTCGCTAGCATGATAATTACTTGAATAATGACAAGGTCATAAAACATACCATTGCCTCGCTAGCATGATAATTACTTGAATAATGACAAGGTCATAAAACATACCATTGCCTCGCTAGCATGATAATTACTTGAATAATGACGAAGTCATAAAACATACCATTGCCTCGCTAGCATGATAATTACTTGAATAATGACGAAGGTCATAAAACATACCATTGCCTCGCTAGCATGATAATTACTTGAATAATGACAAGGTCATAAAACATACCATTGCCTCGCTAGCATGATAATTACTTGAATAATGACGAAGTCATAAAACATACCATTGCCTCGCTAGCATGATAATTACTTGAATAATGACAAGGTCATAAAACATACCATTGCCTCACTAGCATGATAATTACTTGAATAATGACAAAGTCATAAAACATACCATTGCCTCGCTAGCATGATAATTACTTGAATAATGACAAGGTCATAAAACATACCATTGCCTCGCTAGCATGATAATTACTTGAATAATGACAAGGTCATAAAACATACCATTGCCTCGCTAGCATGATAATTACTTGAATAATGACAAGGTCATAAAACATACCATTGCCTCACTAGCATGATAATTACTTGAATAATGACAAGGTCATAAAACATACCATTGCCTCGCTAGCATGATAATTACTTGAATAATGACAAGGTCATAAAGCATACCATTGCCTCGCTAGCATGATAATTACTTGAATAATGACAAGGTCATAAAACATACCATTGCCTCGCTAGCATGATAATTACTTGAATAATGACAAGGTCATAAAACATACCATTGCCTCGCTAGCATGATAATTAAAGTAACAATCTTATACAGGAGTCTTCATTCATATTGATATTCCAAAATAACTAGGGTTGTGTTTGTAGCCAATCAGGTCATCTTTACTCTTTTAGAAAAAAAAACCTCGAGATTAAAATATTTAAGTTGTTTATTTGTTTCAATGTTTTAATTTATTTTGTAGTTAATATCGACGATACTGCCCCAATATTAAAGAAATCAGAAATCAAGCCAGAACCAAAACCATTACGAGTCGGTGATGTGGACTCACTTAATAACTCAGATTCTTCCAAAAATAACAAAACAGAAAAAGCCACGGACGATTTTCATTATGAAAAATTTAAAAAACAGATGCGGAAATACTGAAAGAGTACTATTTGATAAATATCTCATGGTGGTGATTTTAAAGATTTGACTGGTAAATGAAATAAATCATGAATCCTATGGAAAATGTGTGAAGGAGATAAATTTAGTGGAATGTTCTGGATAATAGAATTTCGGTGTTATGGACAAATATACAAAGTACTGACGATTTGAACTTTGAGTTATGTAACGTAACGTAACTTTGGGGGGTTGATCCGAGGCTATCCCATCATACTGGACACCACAAATAAACTGGAAACCTCACCCCCATATAACTGAATTGCTCCCTACGTAAGATGGAGACCCATCACAACTGATGTACAACTGAATAAATTCAAAGAAAACATCTTTTTTCTGTTAAAATAGAATAGTTTATTTAATGACTGTTGGCGATACATGGAAGGAAGGTGTTTCCCTCTCAATCTCATCATGAAAATCTTGCATCAAGACACTTCCACAGGTCTTCTATATTTCTAATCTGAATACTGATAGTTGAGATGATAAAACCCTATTTGTATCCCCAGTTACATGCCTATAAAGGGAGTAAACATTGGGCGGGTAGAGAACGCAAAACTCCTTTTTATTTCAATCCGTCTAGCAGTAGAATCTCTCGGACTTCTAAACACTTTCAAATTATCTAAAATAATACAAATTTTAACAGTGAATATAAACTACAAATAAAGTACAACTGTCACGTGATCAATGATAACAGACGATTGTTGAAATCTAAACTGAAAGTGAAACAACTAGGGAATTGGGTAAGGGTCCCTTTACTTAAATATTTTGCAAAAATTGTGCCCGAAATATTTGATTTGAAGACATGTCGTCATTACCACGATGCTTGTGCGTGATGTGTTTGACCTTTGAACTAGATTTGAAGTTTCTAAAAATATACAGCCGTACTTGTTTAGTAAAATCGTCTATGCTTTTTAGTTTAATTTCATTCTTATTAAGAACAAATAAATTGAATGGAGTTTTACGTCTAAGAGACTGTTAACGCCGTGCATTGTGCAATGAGGGTATTTTTTGTCAGGACAGTGGAATTACCCTAGTCTCATTCGATTTCCAACTGTTGAAGGATCTTTGTCGAGGTCTGGTTTATTATCTCGTCCAAACGACTAAATCTTAAAACAAAACAAAAACAGCAACAAAATAATTGTAGTGGGAGTAATTGAAAATATTTGTTTTTTTTTTTAACATGCAGAACAGGCTGTGCACGTTAAAGATCCCTGGACAGTTGGAAATTGCTTCACTTAACACTATACTACAATTTCAACTTTTTGAAGCAGTATATATTTAAAGGGATTGTAAAGAGATTGTAAAGGGATTGTAAAGAGATTGTAAAGAGATTGTAAATAGATTGTAAAGAGATTGTAAAGAGATTGTAAAGAGATTGTAAAGAGATTTTCTAAATTTTGTATGTATATCGAGAACACTGATAGCACCAATTTGCACCATTCTAATTTTTAATCAAACGTCTGTAGTTCCTGCAATTACACAAAAAAAGTTTTTGATGACGTCACTAATCGCGAATTTTGCTTTATCACTTAAGGTCCTGTACGATTAGTGACGTCATCACTTAGTTTAAGTGGAATTGCAGGAGCCAAAGTTGTCTGACCCAAAATTGGAATGGTGCTTATAGTTTTAATATTTTCTATTTTTTCTATATTTGTAGATACGTGAAAGAAATTCTAGGATGTTTGGCAACTTCTAGAATTATAGAAATTGATGAAAATTCAGAGAAATATTTCGTGATGGAAGAATTGAGACCGATATTAAAAACTATGAGTATTACAGCTAACTTACTGACTTTCTGTAATCAGAGGAAAGATGACATCATAGAACTACTCGACATCAACGGACCAAATGGTAAGTCCGACAGCAAACACATAGATATAGGGGGGGTGGGGGGGGGGGGGGCAGCCGTGATCTCGGATGTCCAATCAATGCAACCTTAGGATTTGATTTTATTTTTAGGGTATTGTGTTCACAGTAAAACAGGATTGGTTTTGTTTTTAGGGTATTGTGTTCACAGTAAAACAGGATTGGTTTTATTTTTAGGGTATTGTGTTCACAGTAAAACAGGATTGGTTTTGTTTTTAGGGTATTGTGTTCACAGTAAAACAGGATTTGGTGGTGTTCTAACTGCACGGAGAGAAAGAGATATAGACAGTTTAATTCAAATTGAGTTATTTCAGGATACTCCTGATTTGAAAGACAAATTAGGTAGGTCGACTTATTTTTATATTTATCAGTTTATTTATTCGACATAGAAATACTAATTAAGATTCATGTCAAATTCTCCCTACTTTTCTTTAAAACGTGAAGTTTAATCAGAACCGGAAATATTGATTGATTATTGATTTGTTTTTTCTTAAATGATTTTTACGACCTTGAATAATTGAGGGTATTTAATATTTAACCCTGTTTCAACCCTGTTTTAACCTGTTTCAACCCTGATTTAACCCTGTTTCAACCTGTTTTAACCCTGTTTCAACATGTTTTAACCCTGTTTTAACCCTGGGTACAGATAAACCTTGATCAGACGCAGGACCTACTATTGTATACAGGGTCCTGGAAGTTAACATTATTGAGGAAAAAATGGTTGTATTTTGTCTTTTCTGTAGAATCTGGGCTCAGCTATGTTGAATATGGTTCGGGAGAGGGCGCTGTTATTTTGGAAATGGCCAAACGTTTTCCTAAGTCTCAGTTTACCGCCGTAGACTACTCCACCGACGCCATTTCTGTTCTGCAGCAAAAAATTCTAGATCAGAATTTAACCAACGTTCAAGGAATACATGGCGATTTACATGACCTGCCTTCTGATTGGTCAGAAAAATATGACGTGGCTTACATCCGTGACGTAATTCATGACGTCGGTGATCCTGTCAAAGCGACCAATGAGATTGTACGATCTGTAAAAAGGGGAGGAGTTGTGTCAATTACAGAAGTTGCTATAAAGGGAAGTAATCAGAGAGAACAAAGGGACGATCCCGTGGCCCCCCAGTTTTATCTATACAGTACGTGTATATGTGTACCAGAAAGTTTAAACCAGCCCGGGGGTGTTGGGTTGGGGTGCACTTCCGGGCAAGAAAAAATGTCAAAAATTTTAATGGAAGGGGGCATCCCGAAAGATTCTTTAGAAATGTATTTCAAGTCAGCTCAAAATATCGTTCGATACGTTTACAGAAAATAGTTTCAACATGAGGGAATATTTCAGAATTATAACTGATTTGTACCGTTCACTATCTCTTCATGATTATATTTATTTAATACTCAAGATACATATTACAACTGATATTTCACTCGGGGCTCGAGTTTATTGTTCCTCCCATACGACTAGTAGACATATTGTTCATGTCAGAACTTCTTACCCCAGACAACTTAAACATGCCCCACCTGTAGCTCACGAAACTTGAGTTTATTGTTCCATCCCAAACATCTAAACCCATGTCAGCCATGTGGAGAGAAAATGAACTAAGTTGATGATAATTTTAAGAATACAAAACAAACCAATAAATGTTAAGTATTTTTATTTAAATTGAACAGAAGATTAATCGTAGTTAGTTTAAACTTCAATATTAGTATTAGTAGTATAAAAGAAATTAGAATTTAAAAATTGATTCGGATCGCAGCACTAGTTGGTGCAGTTGGGGATATTCCTCAAGAAGTCACAAGCGGACGTAGCGGGATTGAATCCTGTACCGCCTGGGCAGGGCATGGATATATATCGACCACCAACGCACATTTTATAACGAAGGCAATTGTCAGGGTCTGCTATATTACCGGCGGCGCAGGCTGCAACTACTGGTGCATGCGTAGGAGCTTCGTCTTCTTCTATTTCGTCGTTGACGCAGGTCACTGACTCTTGGCTCCAATGTGCGCCAACCGCACACTCTCTCAATCTGGCGATATCGTGTGCGCATTGGTAATATCGGTTCATATTGTTTGCGTGACTGATGAATTTTACTTTACCAGTTGGACATTTATCTGAAATATTAACAAAACATTACGTAAACAGAAGCAACCAAATTTAAGGGAGGGTTGTAGCACAGTCGGTTAAGGCGTTGGAATGACGTCATTTGCACACACAAAAAAGTAATTTGCTTCACAGAACAGTCCCCTTTTTTCAAATGCTTTACCCATTTCATATTAAAAATTAACAGATCTACTTACCCCCACAAGCATCAGTGTTACACTGAACAGTTTGTTGTTCAACCTGATCCCCTACACACTCAGATCCACCGTACGCTGGGGTAGGGTTAGTACAGGTCCTAGATCGGGACTGTCCCTTGTTACCCCCACCACACAGAACATCACATTCATCATCATCTTCCCAAGCCGTGAACTCAGTCCATCCTCCGTTAACTTAGAGACAGAAACAAATTATTAGATACACCAAATAAACATGTTAAGCTATGTGGACTCTCTGAATGGGACGCCCAGTAAACAAATTTATGTGGACTCTCTGAATTGGACGCCCAGTAAACAAACCAAAGAACGGAATTAACATGCTAAGCTATGTGTACTCACTGAATAGGACGCCCAGTAAATAAACCTATGTGGACTCTCTGAACGAGGGCCTAGTTACAGTGGCATGCGTTGCTAGCGACATCCACTATATCGAGGTTACCCATCTTTGTGATTGTTGAAACCGACCTGGACAAGGATTTTCATTGCAAACTTCTTCGTCAGTCATCGTGTCTTGAAACTCACAATCCTTACCACCGTACTGGGGTAGAGGATTGGTACACAATCTAGAGTAGGTCAAGATCTTGACCCCTCCCCCACAGGTAACGCTACAATCTCCAGCATGACTCAGGGTGAATTCGGACCATCCACCATTAACTGAAATAGAACCGATTTTTACAAAGGAAATGAAATAAAGCAAATTATATTGGATCACCAGTTGGAGCTTATCCGAAATAAATTGAGTATACTTTGATATATTGATCGCCCGCTTGCTACTGTTGACGATACTGAAGAACTTACTTGGACAGTGTGCCCCCCCCCCCCCCCCCCCCCCCACAAAAACACTCTCTGTCGTCTGTTTGCAACTTATGACGATACTGAAGAACTTACTTGGACAATGGTGGGTGTTACAATCCTGAGTATCTTCTCTCGAATCATCACCTTCGCATTCCTCACCACCGTACTGGGGTTCTGGGTTATCACAAGCTCTGTTGTAGGTCAGGATCTTTTCCCCACCCCCACAGGACACGGAGCAGTCCCCAGTAGCATTGAGGGTGTATTCACTCCATCCACCATCGACTGAAATAGAAAGTTTAGTTAATTGGGTTGTTCATGTACAACTATAGATTTTTCGTAGACATCCGAATAAGGAGTCCGGAACTGCTCTGCCTTGAAAGCGACAACCGCCACAGTTTTCAAAGCGGTAGAACTAAAATTCAATATAGTTTTTGTACTTGGACCCAAGAGTTGAAATGTAGAGTATAAAGGAATAACTGTTTTAGGTTAAAGCTAATAGAATAGTTTTAGAATAACCTCGGGAAGGTTGAAAATATTAATTCTGTTGTCAGAAACGAAGCACTTACTTGGACAGGGTTGTGTATTACAAACAGGGTTCTCAACTTTAGAGTTGCTTCCATCACAATCTGAGCCACCGTATTGGGGAGCCGGGTTGGTGCAGGTCCTGGTGTAGCTCAAGCGTTTTGTTCCTCCTCCACAACTGTCAGAACAGGAGCTTTCACTAGACAGCTCAAAATCACTCCAGTCTCCGTTAACTGATATAAAGGAAAGTTTCAAAACGAACTGATTTTGAAAATAAAGAACTTGTTGGTGGAGAAGAGTGTTATATTATTTTACATAGGGAGGGAGGACTGATGGAAGCATGATGAAAAATTTTAATTGGGGTTTTAATGATGAGTTGTCACTGTCGGGCCATCCTCAATTCTTGGGGGAGGGTAGATAGAAATGACAATGATTGATTTGATTGACGTAAGGACTATGGGATTGTCAAAACCAACATTTCTATTATTTCTCTGTGTTAAAAGGTAAGAAATTTGGAAGTCTACAGCCCCTGTTCTGGGAGAGAGGCGGGATAGAAACACTCTTGACTTGACTTACTGGGACAATGTTGAGTATTACAAGCACCAGTATCGATTCTATATTGAGACCCCTGACAAGTTCGACCACTATATCGAGGGCTGGGATTGGAGCAGTATCTCTTATAGTAGATATTCTTCGTTCCTCCTCCACAAGTCACGTTACAGTTACCTGCCCTTAACAACCGGAAGTCTGTCCAACCACCGTGAACTGAAAAAGAAGTTTCAAAAGAAATAAATCTGAATTCCAAACTGTATCATGTAATTATATATATCCTCTTTAGAATTGAAACATTTAAAAGACTCAGTGATCCTAACTGTAATTTTGGTTCTGGCTTATTTTTTGTAGATTTCGTGGGTTAGTTCTCTCACTGTCCAATCAGATGACAATATTACAAGCTATTGATAAAGTTCCACTGATATTTTGGTGTTTAAAAGGAGGCCTAACATGTAGAGCTATATGGCAGCCTCGTTGGACTCGCTATCCGACAATTTGCCCATGATATCAATAAACAGGTCCGACATTACACATTTTGATTGGTTTATTAAAACGTAATTAGAACATGACTGTGGTATAAAACGTGTTAGATTACAATGGGAACAGCAATAAAACCTTACTGCTATTTGGGTGTTTAAAGATATGAATGATTTTGAAATATGGAAAGCGAAAGTAAAACCTTACCTGGACAGTTAAACCTATTACAGCTCTTGTAGACATATTTAGTAGAAGATCCAGTACATTGATTACCACCGTACAGTGGTGCCGGACTGGTACACGTTCGGGTGTAGGTCTTGATCTGGATTCCTCGTGTACCACAACTAGCTGAACAGCTGTTCTGTCTGGTGTATCTCCAACCAGACCACCCACCGTGAACTGGAAATAGGAATGGAACCTATACTGATAGGGGAAGGAATGAGGAGGTGGGGTGACATATTATTGGGCAAAGAAAGTAAATGTCAAGGTCGACCAAATACCACTGAACTGGTCAATTCAAATATATCAGCGCCGCGACATCCGTGCGACATAAAAAAAAATCCCATGACCCATTTCCATAACTCTGTGACTGTCCAATAAATGAAATTATATAAGACACACAACCTGGACATCTCTGTGTGTTACAGCTCTGTCTGGTTGTAGAGCTAGAAGAACCGGAGCAGCTTCTGCCTCCATTAGATGGTCTTGGATTGGTACAGGTCCTGGATTTAAACACGCTCTGAGTTCCTCCACCACAAGTCTTGCTACAGCTTCCTAGGTTTGTTCTCCACGGGGTCCAATTTCCATGAACTAGGGAAAATAAATTGAAATAAATTAAATTTTTTTACGTCCGTAACAATGGCTCAACCAAAAAAATCACTTCGAAATATATCGCAAGAACATGGCGATTCCTCACTTAAAATAACAATATTTCACAAGATAATCATTTATCTCAGATCTCTAGAAATGGTTTTAGCAAACTTCCAATTTCTTAAAAATTCCAATGGAAGAGACCGGGAGCGAGCTTCAACGGATTTATTCTTAAAATACAATTACAAACTTACCACAATATTTATAACAAGTGGAACTACGATACCTGTAAAAAAATACAATAAATTATTGTAGTCTGATTAATAAAAAGAATATTATAGAGTTGTGTCCCTTTGATATGTGTTGTGAATTAACGAGGAATACGACAGTTTGTTGTTCAATTGATCATGACATTCTTTTGACTGAAGAGAGCCATGAGCTCAACGACCCTCGCAGACGAGCTCCACGTTGAATGCTGAACCCGTAGCCTATCCCCTCCCCCCTTCTTTTATCCCCCCCCCCCTCGTTTCCTCCTTTCTCTATTTTTATTGCCCCTTTCTCACCCGTCTACACTTCTCCTCACCCCACAAACCTCTGAATAGTTCAAAAGATTAACTAACCTGTATCTTGTACATCGACTCCAGCTGAAGAAGCCACACTTCGTGGTATAGCGCTCACTCTTAGAGCAAGAATACGAACATCTACAAGACACAGAGAAACGTATTTCTTAGGTTGCAGTTAGTTAAAACTTATTTACTCCCACGGGTGGTGGTTAATACGTCATCTTCGCAGTGTCAACCAATACCTTGACTGCAATAATCACCTTTCTTGCTTGTATTATTGAAGTTTGTCAATGCAGCGATATTATTAGATGGTACGCTAGCAATTTACGATGAAGCTTCTCATTTTCGTTTAAACAAAAAGACATTTCAATTCCTTTTCTTCCGATGAAAGTCTAGCCATAGAACTTTCTTCATGTTTAAGAAAAATCACGAAATGATCTAAAACTTACGACGAAGCTTGCGTCTCTTCAAAAAGGACGACCACCAAAACCAAAACCGCTAACACCATAAATCCCTTCATCTTACGGGAAGAAAGTCAGAAACAACTCTGAGGTCTGTAGCCCCGGATCTTCCTTTTAAATACCCTTCTCAATTTAATATTTAGTCAGAATTTGATATTCTTTTTGTTTGTTCAATATCTAAAACTTATCTATTAAAATTTTATGAGCAAGGTAAACATTGCTGAAGTGTTTTGTATTTCTCTGAAATCCACATTAAAACCCAATTTAATCTCCTATAATTTTTATATAAGTGCAGAAAAACTGCACAGCTAAAATTCAAAATAAAAATGTCCAAACACACTTACACATATTGCTCTTTATATTAGTTATTGTCTACGCTGATATTATGTTATATATGGTAGAATCAACAGACTTTATTTGTAAGTTATCCATGTTGGAATCAGCTGGTAGACAGAATCCTCGAGAACCGGAGTTGTTACTGTAAAATAAATTTCAACAGGGTTTTTGGAGAAAATAAGTAACCTGTTGCCATGGAGAGAAAACTGAAACTTTAATGAAATATCTTATATATGTTATAATTCATGGTATAATTACCATTAGCCATCAGCCCCAGACCTCAAAGTTTTTTATGTTTGTTTACAATATGGTGTGATCAGTATCGAATATCGATTTATTAGGTAATATTGATTTTTCAGTTTATCTTTTATCTCTACAGGGAGGATTATCTCTAAATAAATACTCTCACGTCTCAATATCATGTTTGAAAAAAACCCCCGAAAAAACTACCTCTTAATAGTCCGATAAGGTACAGAACAGTAGGATATAAAACTCTATTTCATTTCCTTAGTTCAATAAGATACAGAACAGTAGGATATAAAACTTCATTTCATTTCATTAGTTCAATAAGATACAGAACAGTAGGATATAAAACTCTATTTCATTTCATTAGTTCAATAAGGTACAGAACAGTAGGATATAAAACTCTATTTCATTTCATTAGTGCAATAAGATACAGAACAGTAGGATATAAAACTCTATTTCATTTCATTAGTCCAATAAGATACAGAACAGTAGGATATAAAACTCTATTTCATTTCATTAGTCCAATAAGATACAGAACAGTAGGATATAAAACTCTATTTCATTTCATTAGTCCAATAAGATACAGAACAGTAGGATATAAAACTCTATTTCATTTCATTAGTCCAATAAGATACAGAACAGTAGGATATAAAACTCTATTTCATTTCATTAGTCCAATTAGATACAGAACAGTAGGATATAAAACTCTATTTCATTTCATTAGTGCAATAAGATACAGACCAGTAGGATATAAAACTCTATTTCATTTCATTAGTCCAGAAAGGTTCCGAATGGCATAAAACTCAGATTGGTTGTCACAGTGACAGTTGTGTTGTTTGTGACCAGAAGGTCGGCAACTTATTTATGATAGATATACTTCCTGGTGTGAACAGTTCATTAACTTCTACCAATATACATGTATTCCCAAACTCTTTTCTGGATTTCGGGTTTCGTTTTGCGGTTCAGATGGTAATTATTTGGGCTTTTTATTGGCACACTTACAGCCTTTTCGTGTTCAGAATGAGATGGAGGCTTGATAGTCGTGGCTCTAGAAACATTACCTAGACCATTATTTCCATGTGGTTTATTGGAACGGAAGCAGGCTGGATGTCGGGAAATTCTGTGTTCATGTTGAAATTCAGGGGCGAACTGATTCCACTGTCCCTTGAATTATTAGTCCCCGTGGAAGTTTGAGTCACCACTCGGATGTTTGTAGGCCGGGATCGAGTATGGTGGACTTCCGGTTCTTTACTTCCTGTGTCATCTTCGTTTCCGTTCGAGCTGGCGCTCGCTAACAAAGGACGACAACTCGAACGCGATATACTATCACACTGTTTCGGTGTCTTCTCTCGTGGAAGATTCTTTTTTAATTTGCAATAAAAATTCTTCACTTTTCTTGAATTTTTCGGATCCTTCCAGGGCCATTTTATGGTGGTAAAAATAGATGGCGCCTTTTTCAATATGGTGTCTGTCAAGTCGTCTGGGACGGAGTTTTTGGGAATATCTTCAATTTGAACGATAAATATTCGAATACTTGCTGCTTTGGCGATATCGAAGATATAACATAATTTTTTGTCTCTAATAAAGTTTCGAGTGTAAATTAAAACTGTAGCAAAACTGTTCTCTATATTCTCCTCTAACTTGCTTATCTCCCCTGAAATAGAAATTTTAATGATCACGTAAAAAATAACGTACGACCTCCTGGCGAACCCCAAAAGCTGAAGAAAAAAATGGCATTGGCTTGTGTCTATTCAATCTGATTGGCTGACAACAACACGGAATTATAGTATCTCTCCCCAAGATCTTAACATAGATTGTCTTTTGGTAGAATATTTTTAACTAGCTTACTTAGGTAATAAAAAAAACTTACTGTGTCCCAGCAATACGCAATGTTTATCAAAAATTTTATACTCTGTAAGTTGAGGTTTAAAATAATTCTGGACGAAAGTTTGATCAGCATCGTTATACAGCAGTAATATATCATTCTTTAAAACTCCTAAAATAAGACAGACAAGTAAACATTGGGTGTGCAATGAGGGAAATTTAGCAAGAACAGCGGCATAAGCATACTATTTTTGAAGTTTGATAAGATAGATTATTGATCTTTCAAACAAGCTTGTCAATCAACTGAGATATAGACCTAATAGCTGGTGACCTTTGAACTCTCACAGTGGTAATGGCCCAGATTAGAATTCATAGTCTTGTACTAAAAAGACTATAAAAAGCAACAAACCTAAAATCCTTACCCCTATCAGGAAATTTCCCAAATTTTCTACGGACGAAATAATCAATTCTCTGTTTATACAGACAATAGAGAATTAAACACGTCACCATGACAACAACTGGCACTAGTAGCAGGAGTAGCCAATACAACTTCTGTATCGTTTCTGAAAATAGGGATACATGTCGTTAGTATCATCATTTTTAAAATGAAATGGGAGATTTTTGTCTTACCTCTTGACATTGCTTTTTCCCGGTTTGTGTTTCCGATACGCACAGATAACACAGAACGCGTTCCTGTAAACAGACATACCTGGTGGTATAATGGTAACATCAAAACCAGTTCGACTTCCAACTTTAGTCGTTTGTAGAATACACGAATAAACAGTATCATAATCTTCAGTTTTGATAGTTTCTATTACTAGCTTATTACCCACTATAGTTCCATTGTTTCTGAAATAGAAAGTAGGGGCGAAATCTTAATCGCAGAGTGTCATCAACATATTTTTTTTAAAAAAAAGTTGCTATCGCTATGCGCCTAAATAAGACAAGTCTTTTTCGTTGACCCCCCACGTCCCTCCTCCCCGAACCCTCTCCCCACTTTGAAACACACCCTTAACCTTCTCCTTACTTGCTATAATGTTTGACAGTAAATCTTGAATCACTAGAGACCCAGTGACCTCGATCATCTTTATATTTATATCTCCACTCGGCAATCCTATCTTCTTCCTCTCCTGACAAACAACCAAAATTTCCTTCACAAGTTATCTCCCTTCTTTCACCAATTCCCGCCATTATCGGCCCAGTCGGTTTCTGTGTAATATCAATTCGACCATTCTTTGTTTCGCATTCTGAAATAAAGTAGAATTTGAAAATTTTGGTTTTCGCTCTACTATTGTAAGTCTTGTTCACTGAAGAACTGAATAGTCTACCTACTTTACTCCTGTAAGTCTTGTTCACTGAAGAACTGAATAGTCTACCTACTTTACTCCTGTGAGTCTTGTTCACTGAAGAACTGAATAGTCTACCTACTTTACTCCTGTAAGTCTTGTTCACTGAAGAACTGAATAGTCTACCTACTTTACTCCTGTGAGTCTTGTTCACTGAAGAACTGAATAGTCTACCTACTTTACTCCTGTAAGTCTTGTTCACTGAAGAACTGAATAGTCTACCTACTTTACTCCTGTAAGTCTTGTTCACTGAAGAACTGAATAGTCTACCTACTTTACTCCTGTAAGTCTTGTTCACTGAAGAACTGAATAGTCTACCTACTTTACTCCTGTAAGTCTTGTTCACTGAAGAACTGAATAGTCTACCTACTTTACTCCTGTGAGTCTTGTTCACTGAAGAACTGAATAGTCTACCTACTTTACTCCTGTGAGTCTTGTTCACTGAAGAACTGAATAGTCTACCTACTTTACTCCTGTGAGTCTTGTTCACTGAAGAACTGAATAGTCTACCTACTTTACTCCTGTGAGTCTTGTTCACTGAAGAACTGAATAGTCTACCTACTTTACTCCTGTGAGTCTTGTTCACTGAAGAACTGAATAGTCTACCCACTTTACTCCTGTGAGTCTTGTTCACTGAAGAACTGAATAGTCTACCTACTTTACTCCTGTGAGTCTTGTTCACTGAAGAACTGAATAGTCTACCTACTTTACTCCTGTGAGTCTTGTTCACTGAAGAACTGAATAGTCTACCTACTTTACTCCTGTGAGTCTTGTTCACTGAAGAACTGAATAGTCTACCTACTTTACTCCTGTGAGTCTTGTTCACTGAAGAACTGAATAGTCTACCTACTTTACTCCTGTGAGTCTTGTTCACTGAAGAACTGAATAGTCTACCTACTTTACTCCTGTGAGTCTTGTTCACTGAAGAACTGAATAGTCTACCTACTTTACTCCTGTGAGTCTTGTTCACTGAAGAACTGAATAGTCTACCCACTTTACTCCTGTGAGTCTTGTTCACTGAAGAACTGAATAATCTACCCACTTTACTCTTGTAAGTCTTGTTCACTGAAGAACTGAATAGCCTACGCCTGCGTCTACAGTTGCGTTTGCTCTCAGACTTTAGATACTAATACTTTCACACTAACCGTCTTTATTATGGATGCTATATCCGTAACATTGAAAACAACAAGGTCTTAGAAGAGTTATAGCCCCTTACCTATGACGTTTAACCAGACCTCGTGTTTTATCGTAAGACTATTATTCCTAGCAACACATTTATACCATCCGCCATCTTTGATTTTTCTGGAGCGGATGATTCTCAAACTCTGATTTCCTTGCTGTTCCTGTACGTTATCATCGCCGACATACCAAGGGTATTCATAATAACCATCTTCGAACATTTTATACCAAACCATACTAGTGTATCCAGTTGTACAACAGTGTATCATTTTATATTGCCCTGCTCTGACGTAAACCACCTCTGCTGGGGGTCCCCGGAAAGACAGTTCGTCTGCAATACAGAAATCTTCAGTTAGCACAAGAGGTTTTATAATAAAATGACAAATGAAAAGAAAAACCACCCGATTTTGCTCCTTTGAAATACTGGGTTATTCAGTTAGTTCCATATAGGCTCGTTATAGGCTAGGACTATATAGCATTGGAAATTGAAAAGTAAAACTAATAATGAAGGTTGATGACCTACCACTAGGATCATTCTGTGGACACTTGTAACTGTTTGTTGAAACAACCAGTAGAATTAAAACCAAACACAATACTTCTCGTCCAGCCATTCTCCGACTTCTCTAACTGAAAACCATAAAAATATACAACAAGATGAATTTGAGAATTTCTGTAAACTTAAGAGTTGTGGTGACAGAAGTAGACAAAGTGATAATTGTTTGATTTAACGAAATGCACAAGAAATTTGATTTGACTAATTTAACATATTGTCATTTCCGTTTTATAACTATCTCACTTACTAACCAGGAAACGATCAGTTCACATTCTTTGGTAGACAGTATAAAGAATCTTCTGTTCGCGAATTGAAAATGAGATGAGCTCTAGTCAATTAGCTAACATTAAGTCCTGTATTAGAAAATTAATCCCCATTTCTAAAACTAGCTCTACTGATGAGGATTGTGTATCTGAAACATGTCGACAGCATGAGATGAGCTCTTGTCAATTAGCTAACATTAAGTCCTATATTAGAAAATTAACAGCCATTTCTCAAATTAGCTGTCCTGATGAAGATTGTATATCTGAAACACGTGTCAACAATATGAGATAGGGAAAAATGACATTCAAGATCACCAAACTTTCACATACGAACCAAGGTTAGAACCCACCTCAACCATTGACGTCATGGAAATATTCCGACGCTCTTACCGACTGTGCTACGACCCGTCCGTAGAACCTCGTCTAAAATGTTTATTCTAGAGAACATTGTAAAATATTGAACCATGCTTTTACTAACCTATTAATTCCACGTGAAATCAATCTTAACATTCCATGATTGACATAGTGTACAGTTGATATAAAACTTCCTTATATAGACACCTTTATCAAGTGTCTTGTATCATCATATAGCAATGTATATAGGATACTAGTCACGGATTACCAGTGAATTATCTCTGATACAATATACATCCTAGTCACGCTCTAAATAAGGGTCGTGGGTTTTTCCTTACCCTAGATGCGTGCCCTTCCAATCATTAATCATCAATAGCTTTTATTATTCGTTTCCGCGGCGTCTCAGTGAGTAAAACGCTCCAAATAATAACTCTGCCCACCCCTCCCTGTCAGTGATGGAAGTTTGAATATGAAAATCGAAATGAATGGAGTTTGACGTCTTACGATGAAAATTTAAGGGGCTGACAAAAGAAAAAGCATTTTGTCTTTGGGGTTGGGGCAGTTCGTGTGCTACAGGCTGCTCAAGTTAAAGACTCTTGGACAGTTGGAAATCAGAAATTTCATCATTACACACTGCATGGTGTTGTCAGTCTTCTTTAGCCCAATTAGGTTGCAAGTAGGACGTAAGACTCTATTTCAGTTCAGTTTCATTATTATTTTTTGTCGTCATGGTTGTCCATAAAATATATTTTAAAAACTCTTCAATTAGAAGTCGTGAAAGGTCGTATGACGTCATCTTCGTTATTTCGTATGGCGACACTATTCAAATTTCAAGTTTTATTGTGTTTTTAACGAATAATTGCGACACGAATTGATAGTTAGTGACATTATCAGTTAAACTGTGTTCGTGTGGAAATTTAGACATCATTAATTCGTGTTATAAAACAGTTCTGAACAGAAATAGGTCTAATATGATTTTTGCACGTGTTGTCGTTTTCGCCAGTAGAGTAACAATGGCGGCGTTTTCAAAAGTTGTTGTGAAACTTTTCGTCTGACAGTTTCGGTTGGAGTCTGTAAACAATGTTTATGATCAATTTGTGACAATAGACTTTTGAATAATTTTAGAAAATGCCAGTAATTACTGAAAAGCTGAAGTGAAATATGGGTCAACATTGACGATGGAGAGCGAACAACGCCAAAAAAAAGTGAGTAAGATTTATTTCTATTTTGTGATGCGAATAAAAGAATTTTTGATTGTAATTTATTAATGAATGTACCCAAATCCCGAGGGTGGGGCACTTTACTTGGATGCCCTCACCACAACATCCCTTCCCAAGGGTCTATTTGAGATATGAAGGACAGGCGTGACAGAGCGTTAAATTACTTGATTGGTTGAGTAGAAGAGTTTTGGGAATGAATTTGAATTTTGATTATCTGATTGACCAGTGGAATTGTTTTGTGGACCAGTGTTTTCTAGTGAAGATGTGTCATCGCTATGTTAAAATTGATTTGCCAAGTACTGAAAATTTCACAAGATTAACAAAATATATATGAAAATTATATGATCCTTATAAGACTGACTCCGTCACGCCTGTCCTTAGGGAAATCTTGGGTCTGGTCCCCTCACCCCTTTTACTCCAAATCATGTGGTTTTTAGTCTTTAATTGAAACGCACTCTCCACACACAGACAACAAACCAAGCGTATGACCTAGATAATTGTGAAGCACGCGAATTTTTCAGGGTCCAGAAGTGGAGCCTCCACTTCCCCGCGAACGTTCAGGTAAGCAGGTAACAGACCGTACTTGGTCTAGGTAATTAGCGCTGCATCGTAGCCGGCTTTATTCATCTTTTGTTCGTCCTTGTGCTGTCTACAAGCGGAAGAGCTTGAAGTACTAACTATCCATTAAAAACCGATTTCGTTCATCGACACCGCTTCTGTTGTATATTGACCGTCTTTTAAATATTCGACAAGATAGAACTTAACCAGTCTGACAAGATACTATCCCTGTTCGTAGCCAAAAGCTTTGTCCAATAGTTCTTCTCGCAGCCTTCTGACTGTATCATCGATCACTTGTTCAGCTTGTTATATTGAAGTGAGCTCATTTCACCAATAGCTCGCCAGGTACCTTCTATATTCATCAATCACTTGTTCAGCTTGTTATATTGAAGTGAGCTCATTTCACTAATAGCTCGCTAGGTACCTTCTATATTCATCAATCACTTGTTCAGCTTGTTATATATTGAAGTGAGCTCATTTCACCAATAGCTCGCTAGGTACCTTCTATATTCATCAATCACTTGTTCAGCTTGTTATAATATTTGAAGTGAGCTCATTTCACTAATAGCTCGCTAGGTACCTTCTATATTCATCGATCACTTGTTCAGCTTGTTATAATATTTGAAGTGAGCTCATTTCACTAATAGCTCGCTAGGTACCTTCTATATTCATCAATCACTTGTTCAGCTTGTTATAATATTTGAAGTGAGCTCATTTCACCAATAGCTCGCTAGGTACCTTCTATATTCATCGATCACTTGTTCAGCTTGTTATATTGAAGTGAGCTCATTTCACCAATAGCTCGCTAGGTACCTTCTATATTCATCAATCACTTGTTCAGCTTGTTATAATATTTGAAGTGAGCTCATTTCACCAATAGCTCGCTAGGTACCTTCTATATTCATCAATAATTGGATCAACTAGTTATAAGTCTCCTACGTTTGTTTTTCAACCGAGTCTACTGTATTCACCAACCACCTGTTCTACTAGATATAAATCTCAACCCCCAACGATATGAACATCGAGTCTTTCAGAGTCAATCTTAATATTTACTGACATACATCATCAACCAAATATACATATAATATACAATTAAACACTAAAAACCACAATAACCCGACCTCCCCCCCCCCTTTCTCTGCCCATACTCTAACCGAAATCCTCAAAAATCGTCCGTCCATCATTGATTTTATTGAAAAAGCTAACAAGACTGGAATTACACAATGTTTGATTTTACTGTTTAATTGTTGTCTGTAGTATGTTCAAGATTAAATAGTGGTTATTACCCTTTATAGGGTATCCGTTTACAATGTCATGAATACTTAATATGCAAAAATGCCGAAATTCATAGCATATGTATGTAAGCTTTGGATCGTACGAAACTATGTATGGTTCTTACACAGAAATAATACACATGAACATAGTTCACCACCATTTTGAATGTATTCCTCGACTTAATATATCGAAATTTCTGAAAGCCTTTTATCTTTCAACAAAGCCTTCAAATAATATGTAAAGCCATTACTAAGCCTAAAAATAATATGTAAAGCCATTACTAAGCCTATATGTAAAGCCATTACTAAGCCTAAAAATAATATGTAAAGCCATTACTAAGCCTAAAAATAATATGTAAAGCCATTACGAAGCCTAAAAATAATATGTAAAGCCATTACTAAGCCTAAAAATAATATGTAAAGCCATTACTAAGCCTAAAATAAAAATAATATGTAAAGCCATTACTAAGCCTATAAATAATATGTAAAGCCATTACTAAGCCTATAAATAATATGTAAAGCCATTACTAAGCCTATAAATAATATGTAAAGCCATTACTAAGCCTATAAATAATATGTAAAGCCATTACTAAGCCTAAAATAAAAATAATATGAAAAGCCATTACTAAGCCTATAAATAATATGTAAAGCCATTACTAAGCCTAAAATAAAAATAATATGTAAAGCCATTACTAAGCCTATAAATAATATGTAAAGCCATTACTAAGCCTAAAATAAAAATAATATGTAAAGCCATTACTAAGCCTATAAATAATATGTAAAGCCATTCTAAAACTATAAATAATATGTAAAGCCATTACTAAGCCTATAAATAATATGTAAAGCCATTACTAAGCCTATAAATAATATGAAAAGCCATTACTAAGCCTATAAATAATATGTAAAGCCATTCTAAAACTATAAATAATATGTAAAGCCATTCTAAAACTATAAATAATATGTAAAGCTATTACTAAGCCTATAAATAATATGTAAAGCCATTCTAAAACTATAAATAATATGTAAAGCCATTACTAAGCCTATAAATAATATGTAAAGCCATTACTAAGCCTATAAATAATATGTAAAGCCATTACTAAGCCTATAAATAATATGTAAAGCCATTACTAAGCCTATAAATAATATGAAAAGCCATTACTAAGCCTATAAATAATATGAAAAGTTATTCTAAAACTATAAATAATATGAAAAGCCATTACTAAGCCTATAAATAATATGTAAAGCCATTACTAAGCCTATAAATAATATGAAAAGTTATTCTAAGCCTATATATAATATGTAAAGCCATTACTAAGCCTATAAATAATATGTAAAGCCATTACTAAGCCTATAAATAATATGAAAAGTTATTCTAAAACTATAAATAAT